AGACAAAAAAAAATACATAAATGACAAAAGTTCCCAATTGATTCCGTTCCCTAAACATCCGGCGGATGAGCTTTCAAATCTTTAGCATTCCACACACCAATGTTTTGACCATTAAGGTCGGCAAGTTCGTAACACCACGGCGAGAAAATTTTGGTAATGATAAGTGGTCCAGTAAATCTATGTGCCAACTTGACTGTAAACTTCTTCTTGCTATCCGATAATACAAAATTCCGTTTCCACACCTGTCGGTCTATAGAGAACTTATCACTGCGTTTCCGAAGATCGTAACGATGTTTGGTTTTATTTTAGGCGTTGTTGAGCCTCTTATTGACATCAGCGAAAACTTTAGCCATTTCGTTTGATCTCGCAATAGGATCGGCACGACTCACATTTGGACGGTCGACAAGAGTATCATTACCACAATTACTACTAGGAGATCGCAGCTCCCGACCAAACATAATAAAATTGGGAGTCAATTCGGTAACTTTATGTTTAGCCGAACGAATCGCAAAAGCAACTTTTCTAAGGTAGCGGTCCCATTGTCTATGATCTTCTTCTACGTAACTGGAGAGCATTGTCTTTAACGCATAATAGTCGATTAACCATTTCAGAATATTACCCGTAGTGGCAGTTCTAATCGGAAAGAATAAGACAAATTCACTGAAAATATCACACACAGAAAGAAGGTAGGAATAACCAGAAGAAGATCGAGGAAGAGGTCCTACTACGTCGATACTAGTCAGTTGTCCGGGTCGCGAAAGTTGAGGCTGAAGATTAAGCATTTGTCATGCCGCAGCCTGTTGGTTTGGTTTGGTTTTCAAACAAACCTGACACTTACGGATATATCTAGCCACTGTACAACGCATGTGCTTTTTGTCTTATACACACCCAGATGTCCGCAGTGTGGGGGATCATGATTGTCTTTAATTAGTTCCGCCCGTTTTTACCGAGGAATTACAACCAGCCATTCAGCTTCTGGAAATGTCAAAGAAGGATACAGCATTTTAACTCATTTATAGAGTGTATTACCATCCACGCGCCACAGTGGATACTTAGATGGTTGTGTTTGAACCTTATCACGCATTTTGATGTACCATTCATCATCCGAAGGAGTTTTAAGAGAAAGTCCAACAGCTGAAATGTCAACATCTCCTTCAACAATTGGAACGGAACGAGACAAAATGTCTGGAACAACATGATCTTTTCCCTTCCTATGCACAATGTCAAAATCATATTGTTGCATCCTAACAGCCCATCTGGCGATTCTGTCAACAGGATCTTTTATATTATTTAGCCATTTAAGGGAGTAATGATCTGTAACGATGGTAAACTTGCTACCTTCCACATAAGGACAAAGTTTTTCGACTGCAAAAAGAACGGCGAGGCATTCCAGGTAACATATAACTCGTTCCTCGTTATCGATGACTTGCAAAAGTACGGCACCTAAGCCAAAATCACTACCATCTGTCTGAATAGTAAAGGGAACATTGAAATCAGGACAAGATAGAACAGGAGCTCGAATCAAAATGCTCTTTGATACTCTTGAGCGCTTGTTCACACTGAACCGACCATACAAACTTTACATTCTTTCGAGTAAGGGAAGTCAACGGAGAAATCAAAGTACTAAAGTTAGGTACAAGCGACGGTATCATGAAGCCAACCCAACAACTCTTCTCATCTCAGTGACGGATTTAGGAGAGGGAATATTGATGATAGCCTGGATCTTTTCAGGATCAACCAATAATCCACTTAAGTTCGTTCTTGCAGAAATTACATTTGTCACGGTTAAGAGTTAGTCCTGCTTTTCTAATTCGATTTATTACTTCCTTTAGTATTGAAATGTGTTTCTCGAAAGTCGGAATGCAAATAATCACGTCTTCCAAGTATACAAATACACGTTGTTCAAGATCCGCGCCCACAAAGCGATCTATTAAACGCTGCCACACAGTTGGTGCATTAGGAAGGCCAAAAGGCATACTTCGAAATTGAAATAGACCCCTATTAGGTACAGTAAAAGCCTTTAAGTGTCTAGAAGACTCAGAAACTGGAATCTGCCAATATGCAGATTTTATATCTAATGTACTCAGATACCTAATGTCACGAAGCTTATCCGGAGTCGTGCTGACAAAAGGAATCGGATAGGCATCCGGAACGGTAACCTTATTTAGTTGTCGATAATCGACGCAAAAACACCAGCCTTCCGTCTTTTTCCGAGCAATTGGTGACGACCAAGGAAAGCTAGAAGGTTCCACTAGACCATCAGCTAACATTTGTTCAAGTTCAGAATAAACTTTCTACAAAACTGGTGACAGAGAATAGTACCGTTGTTTAATGGGTGCCGAATTGGCCATAATTTCCAACTCCACCATTTTGGTACATCCTAAACCAGCAGGCATGTCTTCGAAAGTCTCACTTAGAAAAGCATCGAGAGTCTGTCTCTGCTCAAATGAAAGAGAATTGAGCGACTCAATTGCACAAAGATTCACTAATGACGTTGTGTCATCGCGAAAGGACCATTCGCCAGAATACAAATCAGGAATAATGCCCATATCAGTCCAAAAATCTATTCCTAAAATGAGACCATGTAAAAGAGAAGGAGCAACCAAAGCTTCAATAAAACTTAATCGATCTCGAAGACAGATTGCAATTTGTACAGTACCGATATTTTTAAAGGTTTGACCCTTTGCCACAGTACAATCCACCTGAGCATAGGAATTAATTTCATAAAAGGGTTGGAGAATATTCCAACCTCCAGCGCCAATAATAGAACTAGTAAACCACTATCCAACAGACCCAACATAGGCTGACCATAAAGCGAAACCTGGAGATATGGACGTTGATCTCCCTTTGTATGGAGCCAACACATAATCCAAAATAACCTTATTCGTTGAGGTGGGCCTAAAATCTTCCCGCATTCGAGTTTTTTGAGCACTTGGGACACGTTTTCGACGTAACGTCTGGATGACCACGCAAGAAGCAAAATACAGTATGAAGTGACTGGCACTGTCTCTAAATCGATGACCATTGGTGCGACAATTCTAACAGAATACAGGTTTGCTAGAAACCACATTAGAAGCAAGCTGATTCTCAGGAGGAGAAGCGTTAATTGAGGCGACCTAATAGCATAACTGAGACGAGTTAATTCATTCATGAAGAGAAGATATCTGGTGAAGAGATAGTCGACTTTGAATATGTGGTAGAAGATTTCGTCGAATAATTGGTAACCTCTGAGCCTCAGACGGCACATCAGGAAGTTTCTTAAACAAATTCTCCATCACTATTATATAAATAAGCACTCGCTCCTGTGCTCCTTGGGTCCTACGACGAATTTCATCCCATAAGGAAAATTCGTGATCATATGGTTGAAAAGCCTCCTTGAGTTGCCTAGTTAAACTGTCCCAACTCTCAAAGAAACCAGTACGATACCAAAGTAATTCATCCTTCTCAAATAGTTCAGGAGCTGAACGCAAAAGTGAGTCTTTTGAAATACCTCTCGAGATACGAAGCTCTTCCACTCGCTCTAAGAAGTCATTGACACTAGAGTGACCATTAAACTTCAAATTCCATTTGCTTACATCCACAAATGATCCGTGGAACCCAGATCTCCGAGAAGAGTCAAAACCTCTACGTAAAGGCGAAAACTGAAAATTTTTCAAATGTTCACCTAGATCCACCTCAGGATGGGAGTAAGAAAGCGGGTCGTCCAATGGTACGGAATCAATGTGGAAATGACTCACCAGAACCAACCTGACGAGAGAACGCTAGGGTGTGGATTTGTGCTTGAGATAATTATTGAGATGGACCATTATCCATAGGGTAGGAATTAGAAACTTGATCAGAGCGAGGCTGTGATTCACTTTGAACCTGCTGAGCTGGCGAAGCATTATTTAAATTATGTCTGACCCGAGTCAACCGATTAAACTCGAGGTTCCCACGAAAAGGCCGCTGTGGCTGAAATGGATTGTCATTGTGAAATGAAATGAGATCACGTCCTGATGGAAGCATGGAAGAATGTCTAAGTTGAGTGTCTATACGGTTTCTAGACGGGGTTTTAGGAACAGGGTCCTGAGAGTTCTTTAACACAGAACGAGGCACTGATGGCTTAAGTGCAAAGTCCGATACCTGATCAAGGGTTTCTGGTCTACCAGACGTTAAAACCTCTGTCTCAGTAAGCGACGGATCCGAGGCTTGTGACAAAACCTCATCGTCCCCATGAGCCTCGATATGATCCCTATAAGATCCACCAAATCATACGTAACAGGAGTTGTAACAGCCACATGTGGTTCCTGATCTTGAGGAAAAACCTCTTCCCTATTCAAGTATCTTGCTTTTGTGAATGATAACCTCGTGAATAAATTGTCACACACCGTTAGTTGTTCTTGCTTAGCCGTAAACTCTAATCGGTCTACTGGCTGTATTCGGTCAAGACGTAATTGTATGTGAGTTAATAAAGCATTTATTCTTTTATATTCATTTTCTCCATTTCCAAAATCAAAATGCTGAATATCACGGTCCTTGTTATAGAGTTTTCCCCTACAAACGTACAACTTGCCATCTGTTCCAAATGTAGTCCCGGATGATAGCTGAATATGACCCTCTCTTTCGAATCTCAAAGCTTCCCGCAATGAAGCTCTTTTCTGAGCAAAAGAAGCCGTTATAGGTAAACCGCGAATGTGAAGCTCGTATCGAAGCTCTTCACTACCAAGCAAATTAACCTTCGTTTTAAATCTCAAAAGAGAACTTTAATTTGGTCAGAATTCACAGAAAAAAATTAAAAATAATATAGACTATCAATCTAACACTCTAGATAAGTTACTAGTAGGTAAACTATAACTGTACGCTGATGTACTAAATACTTTTGTGTCCCTAGACGGCCCACACCACACTTCGGTTCACAGTAATTTAAATTATAAGTAGTAGGTCGTTTGAAAGTCAGACCTATCCTAATTAATTACCTACTAGTTTGTTGTTATTGTTAATGAGATAATTTTCTTTTCCAGGGTATTCTTCCACGACGCAAACGAGGTAGATCATGCGCCCCATCGATGGGTGGCATGAGCGCATCTATACCAGTAAACGCGTCTTCGTACACATCACCCGGGAGCCCTATAGGACCGCCCTACCACATCGTGCACTACAAACTGCCCCAGTTGGGCGTGCAAAAACTGAAATAGGGCTACGTCATCCTGAAAATGGACAAGTCGTAATGATCATCTTTCATTATCAAAAATGGTCTCTTTAGTTTTAAAGTTGATCATAAGATAAGTAAGATTAAAAAAGACATATAAGTATAGGCTGACGAAAGATGAGTTTTTGTTTATTTAAATTTGTTTTTGTTTGAGAAATTTGGTGCCATATTTTTGTCAAAATTATTTTTTTTTTTTTTACATAAAACTTGCCCCAGTGTGTTTTTTTTGTGTTGTAAATATTATTTAGTAGTATTAAGTGCAAGGATCTCTTTTTTGATACCCATGTTTTATTGACTGGGTTAAACATGTCCTTTAAGTATTATTTTTTTTTTTGTTTAATTTGTAGTTTTTTTTTTGTATAAGTGTTATAATTTTTAGCATCATTTTTTGTCTCATTGCTTTTTTTTGCCAGTTAGGAACTTTTTACAATGATTTTTTTACAAACATAAAAGGAAAAAATAAACTAGAACTTTTTTTGGAATTATCACAAGCTCTCTTGAAGCCTATAATAAATAATATCTTCCACTGGTAAATATTTTGTATTAGTTATAGTGAGTTGTAAGTATTTAATCTAGAGAGTGAAAAGAAAATGATGTTGTCGGAAAGTAGTGAAGAAAATTTATCCACATTAAAGTATACCAATGAGATTTACTCTACTTGAAAAAAGTACTGAAATATTTGTACAAAAATAATAATTAATCTCAGCAGCAGCTTTGGAAACCGGTACTAGTCTATTTTGTAAGATTTTTTTGTGCATTTTAATGCGATTTTAGTTTGTATATGTATTCCTGCTGCCATTCGAACACATGTTTAGGCCTGTTTTAACCATAAAAATTTTTTAGTAACTAGTTTTTTTTAGTAAATTATTGCTCAATTTATTTATATTTAGTTTTTTCTAGTAAAGATAGTAACAAAAGCTTCCATTTAGCTGTTATAAAACACTTAAATGTCGCCCTAGCTAAGAATTATTTATTTTGCACCATTCATATCCATATCTAGTGCTACTACTCATTATATTCATCAAAAAAACATCACACAGAGACTAGTCAAAAGGGTCTATCAAGACTGATATTTATTTTTGTCATATTTATCATTATACTCATTTTCATTGGTCAGGTTTGTTTATTTCGTCTTCGTTTCTTTATTTGCAGTAGGATTTGACAATTTGGAGTGCTAAATAAAGCATTATCAGTGGGAACTAATGTATATCGAGGTGTAATTTTATTTCGAGACTGTCAAATTTCAAATTAAATCAAGGAAGCAGGTGCAGTAAACAAACTCATTAAAAAAAGACTTAAAAACATCGGACTGATTTTTATTTGAGTGGCAGCATTCGTAATCCTCTAATTTAAGCAATATTTATTAATTTTTTTTTCACCATAGATATAGTGATGTAGTTCTTATTTCAAACAAGAATTAGAAATTAGTAGAGCCAAATCAGCTTCAAAACGATTTGCAAATTGTATTTTGAATACTAGTCTAAGAGTTAGTGAACATTTTTTTTTTTATATTGTGGAGCCAAAACAGAAATCTTCAAAATTTAATCATCAATTTTCGAATATGTAAGCCTTGGTTCTGTGATACAAACAAAGAATCAGCTCCGACTAATATGTGATTGGTTTCCATTCAATTTTTGTGACTCACCAATAAAATAAAATATGCTTTATGGTACAGTGAAATAGAAAGAAACTTTTTACCAGAGATGATAATATCAAATAATGAAATAGAAATAGAGAATTTATTTTTCTAGCCCTCTAATAAATAATATAATAGTTATTCGATAATCATATTGACAGAGTTACATTTGAAATTGTTGGATGTAGATCATTAACAACTACCGCTTAAAATGTATTTTGGGTACTAGACTGCAATATTTAAAATTCAATTCAATGTAATTCTGTAAATGAGTTATCCATCAATAAAATGTTATTTGTTTATAGAAAAAAACCGCACTCACCTCAATACAAAATAAAATAATAGTATCAATACTTAATGATTTTTTAAAACAATTAACACAAAAACCAAATTCAAGAAAATAAATAGTTACAAATACAGTGTAATTTGTAAAATTGCTCTATTTATTTATTATTATTTTTTGCAAAATACAATAAAAATCTTAAGTATAAGAATGTAAAATTAATAATAAAAAATTGACACTAGTTTTTAGGTGCAACCAGAGATATTTTACTGTAATAAAGATATGAGAAAAAAATACAATCGCAGTATATTATGAAAATAATAAAATAGAATTTTAGATGATAATATACACATTGGTATTTAGTTATGTAAGTTATCTATGATAAGATTTTGTAGTAACTTTTTTGCTTTTATTTTATTAGAGATTCAGTAGAAAAAAAAAATGGACGTTTTTGCAATATAATTTTCCAAAAAAAGAAAAAACGCTCTCCCATGTTGTATGTACTTAGCAAATTAAAGTCTGTTCCAAGACAATTCAATTCATTGAAGTTATCTTAGGCAGACGGTATTAATAATATTATATTTGTGTGTTTGTATTTATGTTTTTTTTTTTTAAACTTATTTATTTATTTATTCGTCCATTTTTGTCAGCTCTTTTTTTGCATTAATTATTAATAATTTGTTTGCCAGTACCTATAGTGTAAAGTAAACATACATAATATTTATATGTTATTGTAAAAGTGCCATTCAATATATATTTTTCTAGATTACATAGAAAACGGCTTATGTCATGTGAGATTTAGACACTGATGTATACAGTATTCGGTATTTGAAATATACAAATATTATATACAAGGGTTTTTTTGTTTTATTTTATTCGTACTTTCTTCTTGGTGGTTATTGGCACTAATTAACTAACATGACCGGGAGGTTTGCCTTTATAAAAATTTATTACAATCAAAACTAACGTATTACAATAAGAGTATAAACTACAATTAAAAAACTGACCTTTCGCGCCGCCTGGTTGAAATGTTTCTCATATTTAGGTTGAAACTTTGTTAACGCAACATTATTTACAAATTTGGTTTCTTCTCATTCTTATTAAAGAATTACTTAAATGTCAATTTCGCGTAAAACACACGGGAGTGTATTTTCTACGATCCTGCGCCGACCGAGATAGCTGTTGAAGATTTGGATTTACACACTAGATCAATGGTACTTGATATGCACGTTGCATTTTTACCGGTTCCGTGTTTTACGCTCAAAAAGTCTATGTCTTGTACCGTTAAAAAGGGACCTTGAGTGCCTTAAGTCGATGGTGATATGTTGGTGGTTGTGGAGAACCGTTTTCCAGGGGATCCCCGTATATACGCACAGCTTATAAGAAAACCCAGGTGACTGGTAATAACTTTTGTGTGTTTCGACAACTCTATGATATCAATTTCATTTCTATTTCTATTTGTTTGCGCGATTTTCCAGACGCAGTCCAGTTTAATAAATTTCAAATACTATTGCGAAAACAAACTTCATGTGGAACCTCAGCATGTAAAGAGAATTGACCACAATATTACTCACTAGAAGTGCTGATCTTTTTGAACAAAAGAGAAGTCCCCTGAGTAAAGTGAATTCTGTCCTCACAATAAAGAGCTAAATTGTCCCCTATTTCAAAGGTGTAAAATAAAACTTCTTTTTTTTTTGCAAACATTATTTTTATTAAGTTAGTGCTTTTGAAACAGTTCTCTCAATATAAAGCTTAATAAATCGAATATATTACAATTCTCAAATAGAATTTGTGTTTGTTTTAGAATATCCTCGTTTCAATTTTTAAAGGGTGGTTTTAGAGTAGTAATAGTGGTGCTGGACGACGTTACGCCCCCTCCCTTCAAGAGGGCTCTTAATTGGCTAAAGTAACAGGGTGACGGTGGCGCCTCCCCCAGAAACATGCAAAACACGCACAACGAGATTATTTTAAGTTAAATCGAATTTCCAAAAAGACTTTTTTTCCTAGTAACGCCTGTAACAACAACAAAAATAAATAGTAAAAGATGTAAAGCTGCAAGTAGACTAAGATTTTGTACTGGCCCAATAGAGGCTGTAACAAATAGAGTATATATTCGAGAATTTTCGCTAACATTTAACAAGAAATAAATAATATATACAAAAGAAAAACAATATCACAACGGCTATTACATATAAATAATACAGGTCGTTACTAAAAAAAAACTCTCTTTCTAGTTCTCTCATAATATACAACAAAAATCGACTAGATGGGTGAACATAAGTACACATTTGTATATAAAAAAAAACACAACGATCTATCAAAATAAAAATACAGGTCATAAAATAATACATAATTTAAAAAAATAACAAAAACTATATAATATAAATATAATTTTAAAAAAAACATAATAAACCTGCATTTCGTTTTTAATAAAGCCCGCAAACAGAAAAAAAAATTAGGCTCAGGATTGGTTGATTATCGGACCTACTACAACCGTGATCGTTGGGTAGCGCCCTCTCGCTCGTAAAAGAGGACGTACGCTTCGGGTGAGACGGCGGAACGGCCCGAGGCCGAACTTACTCGCGAATCGTTATATTCGTGCCACCTAGAAAAGGGCATCAATATTCTAAATAATCCTCAAACTTCAAAGAAATATTACTTACTTGCCATCAATAGGATTCTTACAATGTGCTGTATAATGCCCCGAATATGGAGTACCCGAGTGTTCTGATACAGCATACAAACTATATTTCGGACAGCTCTGTGCTTCTTCAGCGTAATGATTCAAATCCAAGCCCTCCAAAGGAAATTCCACTAGAGTATTCAGCTTTCCTTTGTACCTCTCCAAGGGAGAGAATCGTTTCAAGTGGATAACTAAAATTTGAGGAAATCTTTGAATTGTAAACCTCTTTGTGCACCGCCGTTGCTCTTTGCACTTGGCGCATTTGGGCTTTTCGTCGCCGTCCAAAGTTTCTTCTTTGGTAAATGCTTCTAGACAATGAGACAATCTTAGCGGGCCCGTATTCCTACCGGAAGGTAAGGGAAGGGATAAGTCCCAGAATGGATCAAAGGTTACGCTGCAGTGTCCACAATGGGTGCATCTAGAATTTTGAAATAATATTATTTATGGTTATGGAATAAATTTAAGTAATAGACTCACTTTAAAGTTGATTTAAGTTGTCCTACGAAAGCGTCTACGATTAAAGAATCTTCGGACCTCAAATATCTTCTCCAAGCTTCCGCCGCTTTTTCTGAATCTGGCAAGTTGTCGTCAATATCTGTGGTAATGGGTTTGGGTTTGGTTGTTACTCTATTGACATCTTCGTGTAAACCTACGAGAAAGTTTTTCTTAAGTTATGGACACAGAAAGCAGTAGAAATGGCCATTGATTGACAAAAACAATAATTTCCCATTAAAAAATGTCCAGCAAAGTGACGCTTTAAGAATATTATCCAGAGAACTGAGCAGGACTACAGTAAGGGATTAATATTCTGCAATAATAGTCATATCTGAGAGATGGTATTTGTTATTAGGAATTACCACTATTGCAAGATATTAGTGATAGTGTCACAACTTTATCCTGTCGCGGGGTACGTAGCATAGGGTCAGGAGAATGGAGACTTGCTTGGTATTTAGTTTAAGGTATATTGGGGAGTAAAGGTTATAATAGTAATTACCAAAGGATGGCCCTATGGTACATAGTGCCTCTTCTATAGGGAAAGTTGCGGGAGCGTTACATAATCCAAAGCTGAGAACATTAAATTCATAGGTTCCGTGACCTTGTACTACGATTGTGGTGTATTGTTTGGGGCTTTCTTCGACGGGTACCTGCCAGTATTCAGGAAACATATCAAGAGTGCTGAAATAGGATGCATTTCCGAGATATGACAGAATATCATCTATTTGTGGTAGAGGGTATGATGATTTCTTTGTTACAGCATTAACTTTTTGGTAGTCATAACAAAAACGGATTTTCCCATCTTTTTTCTTTACTAGGACCACCGAACTAGTCAACAGTGAATAACATGGCCTTATTACATTGCCGTCTACCATTTCTTTTATTTGCCTTTCTTTCTGGGATACTCTGTAGAGACGGCTTCTTATTGGACTTGCTTCCGCTACTTCTATTTTATGTTCTGTCGATTTGTCTTTCCCATGTGCTTTGTGGATTTGGCAAAAACGTCATTATACTCCAGTAATAGTTCTTGTGGTGTCAATTTAACTTCGCCGTTTGTGATGTTGTCCAACCTGTGGTCGTCTTATGTTACTGCATCTGTGTGTTCCTGTTCCACGATTTCCTCCTGTGTTACTAGGTGGTAGGCGGGGATTTCGTATTCCGGTTCCTCTAAAAATGCCATCGTGGTTCCTGCGTATAAAGCTTTTCGATTTCTTGCGTCGGATTGTACTTTTATAGTGAGGTTCTTCCCATCTGTATAAATGTGTGTTTTCAGTGTCAGTCGATTTTTGCCAGCCAATTTAGATTATATTTACATTTGTAGCCCACTGTCTCGTTTAGGTTGCCGGTGTTGCCAATGATTTCTAATTCTATTGTCTTTATCTCATTCTGTGTTATCGTATAGACCTTTTTGGCTCCTATTTTATGGGATTTTACTTGGGTGTCCGTGACTATTTGCATTAAAGGCTTAATTTATCATCACTTTTTGACTGTATCTTCCAGAAGTCTGGTTTAACTCTCTGGATGCGAACTTCGACTCCCGTGTCTTTGCACACAAAATACAGCATCTGTTTGAATCTTTCCCATTCTTTTTCCAGTCCCCATCCTTGTCTAGGAAATACCAGTTTTCTGAAGAATTGCTCTTTTATGCTTTCTCTCAGTGATATCAAACATTTATACATGTTTCTTGGTGTGGGTTTTGTCTGCATTGTCTCTCTTCAAAAACGATCACTGTTGAGTTTCTGTCGTGGTTTATTATATTACTGATAATTGCCCGACTCTGCCCTCTGCTTTCCTCCTATAGAGCATGTGTTAGTAAGATTTGTAGATAGGTCATTGGTAGATAGCTTTCTTTGTTTTGTAGTTTCATGTTAACCCGAACACCATGGTGTCATTTCTTTGCAGCTGGTTTCTATGTCTGATTTCTTCTTTTAGAGGAAGCTGTTCACTTTTCCCTTCTTCATCTGTGAATGGGCTCTGAGAAATTTGTCCGGTTGGGTTGTTGTAATGAGGCTGAACAGACTGATTTTTTCCTTGAGATCTTGGTGTAGGGGTATCTTGTATACATTATTCAGTATAAGCAGCTTCCGTGGTAAATCTCCACCAAATGTCACAGTGTTATCCTGTCGTGACGGGGTACGTAGCGTAGGGACAGGTGAATATAGACTCGCTTGGTGTTTAGTTTGAGATATATTGTAAAGTAAAGGTTATAATCAAGGTTATAATAGTAATTACTAAAGGATGGCCCTATGGTACATAGTGCCTCTTCTATAGGGGCACAGGGGAGTTATCTGAAAGACTCAAAGCTACATTAGGAGTGATTCGCTAAAGTAATGGGCTGTCCAGAGGGGCTTTCCCAAAAGAGGTAATTGCACTGGACGGCACGTAGATTAAAGACACCCAGAGGGACTTTCCCAAAAGGGGTAATTGCACTGGGTGGAGACTTGACGCTTTGGGAGCTTTCCCAAAAGAGGTAATTGCGCTGGTTCAAGTCTGCCTATCCGTATGTTGCCGATCACCATTTATATTCTTTATCGCTGACTTGTTAATCAATAAGTCGGTCAATCATTATACAGTGTCATATTTTCCTAAGTAGCTTTGCTTGTTGACAATAGTTAAAAGTTTAGACTTCTTATGAAATCTCATGCCTATCGCCTACTAAACCTTATACTACTGAAAGGCATCACCAATGCTGACTTTATCAGAGAAGCAAATGAGCCCAACTTATAGTTGTCCTAGTTCTCCATTTTGTACAAACTGATTACTTAGATAATCTTATCCTTTTGGTCACGTCATTAACATAAACATTACAAAAAACTTTATTGGTAATCAAAAAGGGTGTCTTACAAGTTATTTAGTTCACTGGATAACTTAATTGCCTAGTATGAAATTTAGGTAAACTTAAACCTTACCTTCTAAAAGATATCGTAGGAACTCTTGTGCATCCTGTTGAGAGTAGCCCATAAAACGGGGAGCGAATCGTTGAATTTGAGACTTCAAAGCAACAGTATTAACCGGTCCAGATGAATCCGGAGCCCACAATTCCTTAATAACTTCCCCAAAAGCTTTGATAAGAGCCCCTTTCATCCCCGAAGTAGTATTATTAATATCCCTCTGATAGGCGTCTTTTCTGATATAGTCCAGCAATACTCTGGTGTTGCTCAGACATTGTAATACGCTGTTCATAAAACAAGTATTGCCGATGTTTCTCAAACCAATCAGACCGAGGCCGGTGCGAGCGTCAGGGGCTGATCCCCTACGAGCCTGAGCCAAGTCGTCTTCGTCGCCGTCGGCAGGTGGTGACACAAGAGATCGACGGGAGGAGGGGCCTGCTAAAGATGTAACGTTTCGCCCTCCTCCCTTGGAGCCTCCTCCAGGGGTTGATGGAGAGCTCACGTCCTAGAAAAAAATACTCAATATTAGTTTTTCATAAAATACTTTACTGATTCACATTTTGCGATTTCTTTTATTCAATGTTAACAGATTCTTGCTTTATTAGGATTATAAAGAATTATCTTGAATTAGTGAACAATCAGGGGGTCTTCAATTACCCAAGAGCTATTTATTATACAAATTTATAAATTTTTACATTCGTCATTCAGGTGATTGGAAACAAAAATCGAAAAAAAAAAAAAAAAAAAGTTTAAATTAGAATTATTTGCTCCAGATCCCCCAATCTATATAACCCTCGGTGTAGCCCCAAAACTAACCCATTTATTAAATTAATCCAAAATAACAACCTTCGAACCCACAGAAATTTTATTAAATTCAGCGAGTTAGACTATCGGTTTACACATTCATAATCTAAAAAATTTAGAAAAATCAAACCTATAAGTTGATTTAGCAATCTTTGAACAATTTTACAATCTAAGAATTAAGAATCTATTAGCTGCGGAAACATCCTCTTACAATAGTTGAGAAACAATATAGCGTTATTGAGTTAGCTAGCAATGTGAGCAATGAGTGGTGGTGTTTAGGCTGGTTATAAATTGATTTAGAATTAGATGTTTTTTACGGTTCTTCAACTGACAGCGTTGTTGTTGAATAAAGCATTCTTCTAGCACTATAATTATTTTTAAAATTATGTTTTATTTATTGGTTAAACATACCAATCCACCCAAGCAATATGAATCGTATTGCTTTTGTCCATGGATTGTTACTAAACAATCTCGTTTCTTGGTAGTAAAACTCACTATAAAACCGAGAGCAAACCCGTATAAAACTATCAATAACAAAATGCTCCAAAAGAAAATCAAAACATAATTGAACAAGTACAATGGATCACTAGGTTTAGGCATAATGCCGTTTTGAAAAATTTAGTACTAAATGCAGTAAAAATTGGATAATCACCAAAATTTTTCCGATAACCATTTCAAGTCTCAAACTATCACTTTTACAGCACGTTTTTTCCAAAACCCAAACCACACTATAATGAATAAATCAATAAAAATCACAGTCTTTTCTAGAAAGTGTCAATTAGTCTATGATATTGATTTGCGCAAAAAAAAAACACACACTTAAGCGGTCGAGTTCTAAAAATAAGACTCTCGAAATGTTACTGCTAAGTTCGAAAATATCCTGTGCTAGTCACATATAAATTAGGGAGTGTTTGCAGTCGTATATTGAAACGCTAAAAAATGTGTCTACCAAAATATTTTTGTAATTTTTCCAGTATTGCACAACAGAAAAAACCTAAATTTAAATTTAAAAAAATCAGGTTTGGGACAAAAGTTTGAATATTATTGATTTTCATCTGAAGAAGAATTTTTATTTAATTTAATTCAATTTAGTTCTGTTAATATTTAATAATATAATATAAGACAGATCTGGTTACAATAATAGATCCTCCAATCACATGAGTTGAATTAAATTTCAGTTCCAGAATAACGTTACTGCATTGAAGCCCCCTAATTTCAACTCCTGACTACATCACAAATCGCGACTATTAAAAATTTCGTGGGTTACTTTATCAAGGATAAAAAAATAAAACATTTATTGTTATCTCGTCATCGCATCAATTATGTAAATTATTTAATATTTGCTCTAGATGAGGGTTTTGCGATAATTATTGGCAAATATAGCTCAGAGAAAAGGAAAACCATGAAATCATTGAACAATAAATTAATTGAATTAATGATTAATGCATGACAAACTATAAAACAGTGACTTCTAAAGTTGAATTTTTACCAGGTTGTGTTTCCTGTTGGTTATTACGCCTGTTGGTCGTCTCTTGAGCATAATTTTAGGCTCTCAGTGTCCGAATGTTAAAAATGGACTGATTTTTGTTGTTAAAAATCATTTTTTGTTGTTGACATTATGATATATTTTAATGAACTTGTCAGAATCATGTTTGACCTTTAAGGTGATCAATACAGGTATTTTTTAAATAATAATTTTCCAGTTGATTCTTGATCAATGTCAGTCTCAAATAAGAAGTAAAAGGAGTTAGAAGAATACCAAATAGTTGAATGAAAAAGTGAGTAATTTTTGTTCCAAATTGACCAAGCGTCTTTGGACTATTTAAGGGCCACCGTAAGGAAACTATATAAAAGGACTCAAATCCCACAATACAGTTGAGTCACATGGTATATCCGATTCACCTTTGCCAAGCTTTGATTTGATTTTGGTAGAAATCCAATTACAAAAAGTTTTTGAAATGCTTCGTAGAATTATTACGAGTAATTATTGTGGACCCATTACTCGGTCTTATACTGAGTGTTGTGTAAACTTGCCATTATTTTTTTGTTTTTATTGAAATATCAAAAGATAACCACAAAATGGCTGGCTTATGTAACAAATGTTCCATAAAGTGCATTTTTTAGGTCACTGGAAAAAATTTTGGCTACCCATGTGATTTTTACAAAAGGGTTATTTATGCAGGGGTTGTACTGGTATTAGTTCTACTGAGAGAAAATAGATGAGTTTGATACCCAGATTAAGGCGATGACTGAGGAAGTTGAGAGTTTGAAAACTAGCTTTTTAGCCTCCCTAGAAGATATTGAAAATGACCTTACCATTATAAAAAACATTACCTCGGCTCTACTTCAACTAAGGAGAAAGACAGCGGAAACAGTGCATTGGTGCACGGTAATGTAATGTACGAGGTCTCTAAGAGACAAAGAAGATCTCGTAACCTGATGGCATTTAATTTGTCCCAAAGTAATGAGGTTGAAGATATCTCTAAGACAAAGGATATGCTTCAAGGCCTCACAGGCTGTACTGTACTCTGAATATCGTTAACTCAACTAGAATTGGAAAGCGTAATAAAAATGGGCATCAAGCACTTCGTCTAACTTTAGAGTCTCCCGAAGTAGTTCATTTAATATTAAGAAACAAGCGGAAACTGGACAGAAGCTTGAAATATTTCTTAAAAACGAGCAGAAGTGAATATTTTGAAAAATTAAGTCAAGGAGAAACAGCGAAATGGTGAACATGATCTCATGCTGAAATATGTAAATGGAGTCTCTAAATTAATCACAAAAAAACTAAAAAGGCTTCCCAAGGTAAGACCAGAAAGCACGTCTTTGCTGATATATTTCCAAAATGTCAGAAGCTTACGTACAAAACTTCAACTTCTTTATGAAAATACCTCTTATTGCCTATACGATGTTTTAGTCTTTAATGAAACCTGGTTAACTGACGATATTAATGATGTTGAACTACAAATGTTTGACTACAACGTATATCGAAAGGATAGATCATCAGATACAAGTACTTTTTCTAGAGGAGGTGGGGTGATAATAGCTGTCCGTAAAACCATAATTAGCATAGTTTTATCAGTTACCATAAATATTGAGCAATTGCTTGTTAAAGTCCAAAGTGGTAACAACAATTTTATCTTTGCAACAGCTTATTTCAGATCAGAAAAGTATGTAGAGTTTAGTGAGATTATTGAAAATCTATCTGCAAAATATCCAGAACACAAACTTTGTATCCTGGGAAATTTTAATCTACCATACTGTCAGTGGCATAATGATGGATTGTCTTCAGTTGCTGCTCCTATGGCGGCAGTTCCACCAAACGAAGTTGAATCCATACAAGTTCTTTCATTTTTATGTTCATACCATGGCCTTTATCAACTTAACTCAGTTAGAAATGTTAACAACAACTTCCGGATCTTCTTAAGATGTCAAAAGTTATATGTTTATATAAAAAAGGTGATCATAAAGATGTTAGTAATTATCGGCCTATCTCACTATTGTCTGTCTTCTCAAAAATTTTCGAAAAGGTCTTGTGAAGCGTATAGTAAATTTCCTGGAGGGTACCTAATAATCTCATTTCCAATACTCAGCATGGCTTTCTACTTTAACAGAACTTTGTGCTATTCTGGATAGAATATATAAAAATTTGGATAAGAATGACAAGGTAATTTGTGGACTTGACCAAGGCATTCGATTGCCTAGACCATGAACTCCTCTTAGAAAAAGTACAACTATATGGTATTCATGGCAATTGTTTTCACCTACTAAAATCCTATTTGGAATATCGCAAACATGTCCTTATTGAGGGGTCGGAGTCTGCGCAATTGGGTGTGGACGTTGGTGTTCCACAAGGGAATCTTCTTGGACCTTTACTAATTTTAATGTACACCAACGATATTTCCAATTATTTGACCACATACCACTGCGAATTTGCTAATGACATTACCTTACTACCGTATAATGCCAATGAGTTGGAAATGAATGATTGTATAACCCACAATTTGGATACTTTATACCAATATTTTTGCTCCAATAAATTGACTCTTAATCAAAAAAAAAAAAAATATTTATAATGCAGTTTCATCCATATGGTGCCAACTATACAAAAAGTCATCTTATTAAGTTAAATAGTAAATCAATTGAGCAGGTAACATCTTTCAAGTTATTGGGGATTCATTTCAAAGTATTCAGCAAAGGAGTTTCCTATTTGGTTTTCTCCAAAACTAAAACAACTGATAATGGAAAAAAAAAGTGCATAAGAAATACCGTAGAAGTAGATCATTAGATGATTATAATGAGTTTTCTTTATTATGGGCTCACTGTAAACACCTAAAAAAAGAATGTTATCAAAGTTATGTTGCTTTAACGATGCAGTTGAAGCTCTTAGAGATAATGTTGAAAATTTCTGGAAATTTGTCAATAGCAGAAAAGCCAAAAATAAACCTTCTGTATTGTGCTATGATGATGTGACTAGTTCTTCTGGAGTTGGGATTGTCAATTTGTTTGCTGAATACTTTTCCAAAACTTATAGTGATAAAGACTGTGTATTGCAGGACATTCTGCCTTCTGGGCACATCAATCTGTCAGAATATAACATACCTATCTCGTCTATCTATGAAAAACTATCCAAATTGGATACTAACAAGGGACCGGGACCTGATGGCCTCCCACCATCACTTATCAGACACTGTAGCTTCTTGTTCTCTAGACCTCTTTTCCATATCTTTAACCTCTCTTTAAAGACCGAGCCTATTGGAAAAGAAGCTTTATTAGTCCCATATTGAAGTCTGGAGATAGTTCACAGGTTAATAACTATCGGCCCATCAGTATACTAAGTTGTTCCCTGAAGATTTGAGACTCTTGTTTGTGATTACTTGTCTGCTAGTTCGAAAGGCTGTTTTATCGATCAACAATTTGGATTCATTTCTCAACGCTCCACCGAACTTAATCTTTTGACATTAGTGACTATCTTTTGGAATCCTTGGAGGGGGGTTATCAAGTTCATGCTGTGTACACTGATTTTGCAAAGGCGTTTCGTCGGAATAACCATAGAGATTCAATTAATAAGTTGCAGAGTCTGGGAATTCAGGGTGTCCTTCTAGAATGGCTTTCCTCTTGCCTATATGAAAGAACACAGATATTGTGTATTCAGGGATTCCAATCAATAGAAATTAAAGTACCATCGGGTGTACCCCAGGGTTCACACCTGGGCCATCTTCTTTCTAATTTATATGTGAATGATACTGCGTCCTCTTTTGTCTTTGCCTTCTTCCTAATGTTTGCAGATGACTTACAATTATACATAAGAATCAAGAGTAATACTGATTGCCTAGAACTGCAAGCCGACTTAGATCGTCTCAGCAACTAGTGCGAAATTAATGGTATGGAACTTAATGTTAAAAACTGCCAGCTGATGGTCTTCAGTCGTAGCAGAAATCCCACAGAACATGTCTACACTATAAATGGTTGTCCTTTGGAATGTGTATGTCAAATCAAAGATCTAGGTGTAGTCCTTGATTCCAACTTATTCTACATACCCCATATATCAATGGAAGTATCGAAATCACCTAGGTTTTATTTAAAGGTGTGCTAAAGATTTTGTTAATATAGCATCCATCAAAATATTATTCTGTTCTCTTGTGAGGCCTCATCTAGATTACTGTTCTTGTGTATGGTCCATCCACTACAATGTTCATATCCAGGCTATTGAGAGAGCCCAACATAAATTCTTGAAATTTATTTCATTTAAAGAACGCCATGAAGTTGAAGATATCAATTATTCACGGGTTGAAAGTTCCCTGAATATTACTACTCTCCAGATCAGACGCATGCACAAGCATCTTACCGTATTCTATAATCTACTGCACTCATATAGCTTTGGTCCAGAGCTACTGGCAAAAGTCGATATGCATGTCACTTCTACACCATTTCAACCTCAATTTCGGAAAAAGTAACTTTTATTTAGGAAAATGTAAAGTCTTTATTTAGGAAAATGTAAAGTCATTTTCGGAAAAAGTCAAATCAATTTCAGAAAAAGTAAAGTTAATTTCGGAATTACAGGTACTCCTAAATATTATGTTCCCGAATTGAAATCGTCCAGTCTCATAGGAGGAAAATGTCTCCGGACATGATGATCGGACATGATGACGACAACCCAAAGAAATGTCTCTTTATTTATTTATTTTTATTTATTTATTTACGGGAAAACCCTATTAACAGTTTACAATTAACAAAATATAAAGTTATGAATATAGATTATATATAAAACATTTCCAAACTAACCAAAGCAACCCCTCTTAATACTAGCCCATTAAATATAGTACGTAAAACCACAACCAAAACCAACAAAGCACAGAACCCTAAAAAGTAACACCATCAAATTGCTTTTTGAATTCTCTCAAAGATATACCAAATATTTCTCTAACTCAGACCTAATTGAGAAAGTGCAAAAACGATTCTTAAGATATTTGTATGTAAAGGAAAATAATGAGTACCCATATATGGTCTCATACAAGACAATGCTGGAAACCTTTGAGATTCAAACATTGTCCGGTAGAAGGAATAACCAAGCAATGATTTTTATATTATTATATAATTAACAATATTAAATACAAAGACTGTGATCTAATTAACTATATTTCATTGAGAGTACCAAAGACTAGGCTTAGAATTACTGAAAAAGAATATTTTTATGTAGATAAGACAAATAGCACGTCGCCAGTGAATAATATGTTGAGAGTTTGTAATAATATTTTAAATGAAATGGAAAATGTAGATATATGCAATGTGGGAACTGCTGAGATCAGGAGATTGCTCAAATACCAAAGATAAATGGTGATAAATGGTTTTAAAGTAAATATAGACTACCTTTTTTTTTATTTTTTAACTGTTTTTATAAGTATATTAAGTAATGTCAATTTTTTTTTTTGTTTTTCAAACTTTAGTAATAAGTCTAGTTGTAAGATCTCTCGCATGTAATTACCTCTGGGTGTTTGTGGGATGTACCTTTAAATAAATAAATAAATAAATAAATTTCAATGTGATGATCATTAACAACTCTAGAGTATCTATCTATAGGCGAATTAAAACCATAATTTGTACGGTGAAAAGGAACATAAAAGGAACTGACATTTTGTCTTCTATTTCTAGTAACTATCTCAATATTTATTTCACCTAACAAATCAGAACAATCAATTGTACTGTTCACAATACCATACAGATTGAGGATGATATCCCCACAAATTTAAAAAAATGGAAACAGCAATTTACCATTTATATGGATGCCTCTGGTTTGTTATTACATCATTTTGAAGTACCTACATTTCAAACCAAAAGAAAATGAGACTGTTAATCGACACTTATTTCATACTAGAAAGCAGTGACAAGGTGAAAGTGTTGATATGTTTGTGACTGACTCAAGAAAATTAAGTCAAAATTGTAATTTCGGAGATCTGCGCGATAGTTTGGTTAGAGATAGGATTGTATGTGGAATAGAAGACACTAAAGTAGGAGATAGGGTGCTAAGAGAGCCTCAATTAGATTTGACAAAATGTGTGAATATCTGTAGAGCGTCGGAGTTAGCTGAACTTCAATCAAAAAAGCTAGAAATTGAGACAAATGTTAACATTGTGACGGAAGACAATGTAAAGCATGTAACAAGTTTGGACATTTTCAAAAGTACTGTCGTGAAAAAAGAAACATGACTCAAAATGTATATTCAGTAGAAGCAGATGATGAAGAGCAGGAGATGTTTATAGGCACAGTTCAGAAAGTAGGAAATTTGTTTCAAAATGGACACTGGTGCTGATGTTAATGTTTTGAACTTGAGAACTGCTGAAGTTCAGTCATCCAATACAAAGCTATTGAACTATGAAGGCTCATTAATGGGTGTTTATGGACAAACTACACTTATCTGTGAAACTAATAATAAAAAACACAATGAAGTGTTCATTGTAGTCAACTTTAATGCTCCATGCATAATTGGTCTTCCATCTATTGAGATATTTAATCTGCTAAAGGGAGTAGGATCGGTAGAACAGGAAGACAAATATGTGATTGATAGTCTAGTAAAAAAATGCAACCATATTTTTCAAGGCATTGGTGAATTGACAAATTCATATAAAATTCAGTTGAAGAAAAAGGAAGAGCCAGTTGTAGAACCTCCAAGAAAAATTGCAATCAGCCTTCAGCAGTCAGTTAAAAGTGAGCTAGATAAAATGGAGAAAATGGGCGTTTTGAGAAAAGTGACTGAACCAACTGAGTGGTGCAGTTCTATGATCATTGTAAAAAAGCCAGACAATAGTCTTCGAATTTGTTTAGACACACAAAATCTGAATAAAGCCATAGTACGTGAGTGGCACCAGCTTCCAACTTTTGAGGAAATTGCCATCCAAGATGGAAGGCGCAAATATTTTTTCAATACTGGACGGCAATAAGGGCTTTTATCAGATCAAGTTGCACGAAGAAAGTGAAATTTAATGCTGGGTGTTATGGGTGATATTGTTATAGGAGAATGCCTTATGGACTGTGCTCTGCACCGGAAGTTTTTCATCGTACATTCAAGAATATTTTTGATGGACTTCCAGGAGTGAAAATTTAGATAGATGATGTTACAGTCTGGGCAGCGAATAAAGAAGAACACGCCAAAAGACTGGAAGCAGTGTTAGGCACTGCTAAACGTGCCAATGTTCGTTTCAATCGACTCAAGTGTAAATTCGGGTTAAGTGAAGTACGTTATATAGGTCATGTGTTTACACAAAATGGTTTACGTCCTGATAAAGACAAGGTGAGTGCTATTTTGCAATTAAACAATACAAAAAACAAAAAAGAACTACAGATTTTGCTAGGAATGGTTACTTATGTATCTAAGTTTTTGCCCAATTTGTTTGTTTTGATTGTACTGTTTTGATAATCAAAAAGTTTTTAAATCCCTGCTAAAGTCCTATACCCTGTAATATTTTAAGGTCCCTTAATAATTATAATTAACGAAATTAAAAGAAAAAGTTAATTTTATTTAAGTATTTTGTAGTTTTTACCTTATGTTTTATATTAATATAATGCTGTATATTTTTTGATATGTTACTGTTTATTGTTTTCTTATGTTTTGATATCTTTCTAAGTGATAGGTTAGGTTAAGATTCTTACTTGTTAATTATATTTGTCTTTTAATTGGGCAATAATTGCTCGTTGATAAATATATTTAAAAAAAATAATAATAAATAATAAAAAATACTCAACAAGGTCAAAAAAGGTTTTCGCAAAACTGAGTCTACACCAGCCAAGGGAATATTTATTCATATTGTTTTGCAGTAGCAGAAAAATATAAAAAAATCTACTCACATAACTATATTTCCTTCCAATTTTCTCATTTTCACATTCTAGTTCGTCACTGGTTGGCTCGTTGGGTATAAAACTAGCGCACTGATTAACTCTTGCGCTTCGCTTCCTATCATCCCCATTCACTTTCTCTTCTTTATCCTCGTCGCCGTTAGTGATGGCCGCCTGCAAAACACCGTTTTCCTTTAAATCTTCACTGTCGCCGTCGCTAAGCTGTGCAGCAGCGCTAGCGCAGCCATTGCTAAGCGAAGCTGGACTATTGCGTCCGTTGCTAAGCGTCGTGTGACCGTTGCAAAGGGACGATGATTCTGGTTTGCCGTTGCTGGATGAAACCGGAGAAGCCTTGCAAAAGCGAATAAAAGTGAAGTTATAATGAGAGGGGTTACTATAATACTGAGGTGTAACTAAAAATGTGTGCATTTTAAAACTGATAAAAAATTAAAACTACAAATTACTTTGAGGATATAAAATGGATAATACAATACTTCTTGCTTTTAGCCACAAGCATGAGTGTAATTTTTGAGGCAATTATTACTAAAAACTCGTGCACAGTAGGTTACCGTATCCTTTTCGAATAAAAACTTATAAAACTGTATAATATCTTGTACACCCATATTCTTGTTAGTGAACTAAGAAGTCTAAGGAAAATAAAAAATTAGTTGAGATTCAAAGTTGCTTGTGACGGTCATTAAATGAACTAATGTCGATATAATAGTGAATTAATTTGTGGAATATTCTAGAACGCCTGAGCATTGTAGGAAACTGATACTGGTAGATGCTGATACTGAACTGACACGGTACTGATAAGTGTGGATAGTAAAGGTAATAGGTACTTGAACTACATCTATGTATATCTACAACTGTCACAACAATGCGATCTGGAGCTGGTAATAACTAGAAGTTTGATACATTTGCCAATAAAACAAAAGTTAATCGTTTATCAAAGTCCAAAGTCTACATTTAATGTAGTTAATGCATCTTTAAACCAATTAAAAGCTTAAGATATTCCAAGTGTAGGATGCTGAATCTATCTTTATAATGCTACATGCTTTGAATGAAATAAATACACAAAACCCTGATTAGATTAGTGGCATTACAAATTCGTTAACTGTACTTGGTGTCACTCAAAACAATATCAACTCAAAAAATATGCTTTCGGATAACTTCTTAGCAGAAAATGGGCATACAAAAATTCAAATTATTGTGCACAGTGTAGGCGCCAAGGTGCTGGTGATGCTCATGCAAAATTTAATTTTGATAATTAAAAATTTAGATTTGAAGGCAAGTCAGATAATAATGTGATCGCCCACAACATATTGAAGTGAGTAGAGTGCCACATACTTAATATCTGTACCAGGGGCCTTTCAATAAATGTATATACCCATATGACCCTTTTCCTAACTAGGTTATTTTGCAACTAAATGCCAAAAAATATATATTGATCAATAGGGGTACTAGGCTGAGAAAAACAATAAAGACATTTTATAAAATTGCAATGCTTGTATATGCAGATATTTTTTATCTAGTTACTTTAATGCTTTTGCTTAATTCATGTCATAGACAAACAGATCATGATTGGTCATTATACATAAATTATTCCTGACTCGCCTTGTAAAATAATTTTGAAACAAAAACCGAATAAAATCACCTCTCTATGCACCTTCACCGTATCCACAACACCCCTTTTAACTTGTTGCCGGCCACCCACGACCCTCGCGGGTGCTGTCTTTGGCAATTTCTCGCTTACTTTGCCTTGCGGCTGCGGTTTCTCATCAAACCGTTTGCACAAATCAGCGACGCTGGTCCGCCTGTTACCGTTTGCGTCCGCGTCCGGTAAATCCGTCAACGTTTTGTTGCTACCGTTTGCGTTGTTGCTGCCGTTAGTAGCGCTAATACTGGCTAGCTTGAAAGTATTAGCAGAGCTGTTGCCGCAGTTAGCGTTATTGCTGTTAGCCAGGGTATTTTCGGGGGTTACCTGTTTTTTGATGCGCGTCGATGCGGACGAGGGACTGGTTGATTTGGACTCAATCGGAGGCAAACCTAGACAATTGAAAATAAAAAAACTGCAAACTATGTTTATAAAATAACTTACCAATATCATTTATGGACTTGGATCTTGATATATTATCGTATTTGTTTCTGTAAATGGCCGGTATGTAATTTGCAGGCGAGTATTTGTTTCTTAGCTCAGCTACTGAATCGATCACGTTTGAAGTAGATAGTCTGTCCGATCTGGTCAAAGAACTTTCTCTGAAGTTGGATTTTAACAATAAAATTTATGGCAAAATTTCTAGAGAAAACAAACCTGCGAGGATAATCTGAAACACTATTTTCTCTGATAGAACTTATTCCATTGTCTCTGGATAACGATCCTTCTCTTGATTCTTCTCTGAATCTAGTTGTGACTCCATCTTCTGTTATGGATCCACTTCTGAAAATTATTGTTTTTTACTCTTAGGAGGATATACAGAAAAGCTCGTAGAAAAGTGTCACCAAACAATGTATTTAAATTGGAATTTCTACCAATTAATTTTTCTTTCTAAATTGTCCATTCAATAGGTTTTTTCCTACAGCAAATATCCCATTATTAAAAATAATATGTATTTGGTTTTTGATAAATACTGTTTGTATATGTACATCTAATAGAAGAAGAGACATCCTTGAAAATATTTGCTTAGAGCTGAGTACTATGAGAACCCTTTTAATGTTCACTGTCTAAATTTCCATACCCATGGATCTACAATATTCTCAATAGCAGTTATTCATCTAAAAACTCTGCATGATCTCTTTATAAATCTCAGCCTAAAGTCAAGATAAATTCGAAAACTTTCGAGATGGGTTTCTTATCATTTATAAAACTGGTTATTTATGTTAATTGACATTTAATGAATGATTTGCCTCTTGAGCAGGCTCTTCTGTTCTTTCATGACACATTGTGGGAGGAGATAACTTTATATGTTTATAAGTTCATTGTCTATTAATGTTATAAATATACATGATAAGATTTCCCAGCTGAAGGATAACTTAGGAGCAGCTCCAGATGGTAACTCTGTTTCTCACATTAAGGGCGGGTATTATAAACATGTTTTAAAGTTAACTTTGATTGTTACACTCAAGTTAACTTTAGCTTTCAAAATGTCAGTTTTATAAAAATTCCATTTCTAAAATAAAAAGAAGAAAAATAAGAAGAACAAAAGGACAAAAAGAAAAAGGTATTAAGAATTTTTCGCTTGGGTTCAAGCTTCGATGGTTTCTGTTATTTGTTAAAGTGTTGTTTCGGGTGTCGTTTCTTTGCTAAATGCTAAATTATTGACAGAAAAATTGTCGAAAACCACGATTTCCTACAAAGTTAACTTTAACCAATGCCCCATCCGCCCGATAAAGTTAACTCCGACATTTTGAAGTTAACTATGACTTGCAATGTCATTTCAGGAGTTAACTTTTAGTTAATTGTCAAAATAGTTTTATAATACCCGCCCTCAAAAGCATATGCCTGTTTTCTTACATCTTGTGTTAAATCTATAATACATCATTATCCACAGGAATTTTTCCAACAATTGAGAAAACTAGTTCTGTAATCACAATTTTTGAAAGTGGTGACAACTAGGATATTGAGAGTTACATCCCCGTTTTAAAATATTCTATATTTTCTAAAATTTTTGAGTCAATAGTTACATATAACACCTTTTTAAAAAACATAATTATACCAGAACAACATGGTATTATGAGAGGCGAATCCACATTCTAAAACAATTTGAGCAGACTCTGTTTGATTTGTATCAGGTATTTAGATGTGATATATACAGATTTTTATAGAGTATTTGAAAGAGTTGACCATAAATTCCAGGAGCCTGTTCAAGTTAGGCAATAGGGAATTTTCATATTTCTCAATTTATTTTTTTTTAGGCTCTTCTAGTGATCAGATATTACATAATTCACATTTTTTCCATTTCAACTTATACGTTGTACGAAATTTTTTTTATTGAAATTCAAATCAAAAACTTTGGCGCCAAAACGTGAGGTTTCAATATGACAGCGTCAGCGATCGTGACGTTAAGATTTCGTAAACAACAAAACCAGCAAACGAACTCCTGTTGACGTAGTGCTATTTTTGTGTTAAAGTTTGCTTTTTGTGAAAATTGTCGCAATGGTTGAGGAATATTGTAAAGAACTGCTTTTGTAAATTTTATTTCACGTGCAAGTTCCCTATTGACAGGTTTGTTTACAGAATCGTGACGTCAAAAAAGGTAGCCATCGAGGTAGCCATCATGGAAGCATTGTTTTAGCGGGAAATTTTTTATTTCAAATTTAGTAATATTTTTGTGTAACAAGGGCGGTATCCGTTGAATGAAAACTGGTCATATCAGTATTGTGCAGTATAAACTATCGATTCAAAACAAATTTGAGAAATTTTATTTCACTTGCAAGTTCCCTATTGACCACCTTTCAAAAAGAAAATAGAAAACTCATCGGTCTCATCAGAAATTAATAGCATTTCTGGTGTTTGCCCCTCTCCTTATTGAATCTTTTCTTGAACAAATGTTAAAAATGTGTAAACACTGTCTACTCAATTTTGACTATGTTTTACAAGGGGAACTTGACAATTTCTTCACCTACAGTGAAGATAATCATTTGGCATTACCACATTGCATGCCGCGTCGGGCATAGCTGCCCGACAGTGATGTTTCCATTCAGGCCACGTCGGACTTACAGGGTGACAATTTGAAAAGTAGCAATCGGGCATATCTCTTAGACAAAAATTACTATCAGAAAATTTTCCTTAAAGTTAGCCAGTTTCACCAGCAGGTACTGAGGTCCCGTTCGGGAGGCTACTCAGCTAAAGGACCCCTCACACTTCTTAGGGGATTTCTGACCGCGGTCAAATTTAACCAAATTCTAGTTATGTTATAGATCTCACCTTTCTGATCCACAACTACCATGGGTACAACTTAATTCTATGTGTACATTTCTTGGACATTAAACTACCTGTATCTCAAAAACTATTCATAGGTAGATATTGATCAGAAAGGTGAGATCTATAACATACTAAAATTTGATTAAGCTTGACCGCGGTCAAAAATCCCATAAAATACCCGGTTCTCGAATTGTTCCTTCCAAATATCTCTATAAAAAAAATCAAGAGGCTGGATTAGAAACAACATATAGGTACTTAAGTCTACTTCTACTCTATTTTCCCTTACTGCCTGCCTTTAAATTCTCAAATTTGTGTCTATTCCCGGCTCTTCAAGAACCTCTTGGTACAAATATGAGAGATATGGGACGTCACATAATGGACGCTCATTTGACCATGACATGAACCAACAGGTTCAAAAGTTACCATGTAAAACCCAATATGACCCATTCAGAAAAAAATAGCCTGTATTAAAACGTTCATGAAGCGTCCATTTGACGTCGTTGAATTGGATGTATATTTGGTCAGTGTGGATCGATTGAAAAGTTATATATCTACATAGTAATACCAGTACATATTATCTGATGCAGAATAAGTATACAGTGGGTACCTACATAAAAAAAAAATAATTGTTTTGCACTAAGTAGTTTTGGCAATTTTTGCCACATTTTCGAAACAATCTGAAATTGGTTTTTTGTGCATTTCAGCAAGTAAAGATGGAAGGATTTGTTTATCTCAATATTATTATACCTAATTTATGAATCATCACTGAAGTAAGAAAAAAAGGACCAGGGTAATGTGAAAAAGCTATTGTACCTTTCTTTTCTTATATTTGTCATTCGGCAGTAGACTATTGTAGAGAATAAGCTATTAAAAAAATAATAATTACCTAAGCTATGATCCTAAGTGCCCTTTAAACTAGAATTTTGGTAAGCTACTTCTAGTTGAGCATGTTTGGTATTAGACTTGAAGCATTTGGCTGTAGATGTTTTCAATAACTTCCTCTTAACAATTGAAGTTGCGTTTCACTGATATCCGGGGCAACAAATCATGGTTTGATTATTTCTTTTTGGTAATTGGTGTCCCCCGGGGAAGCCGTTCGTCATAATAGGTTAGGATCTCATTTGTTACCTGATTATACTATTAAAGGTAAGTGTAGCAGTGGGGCACTACCGAATACCGGCGAGAAATGGTTGAATTATGATTTGCTGTTGGGTGTCAGCTGCACAATGTTTCAAGTGAATTCAGCCTTATGGGGCTTTACTAGAATAGCTGAATGCTCTTCAACTTTGCCAGGCAAAATTGTTTTGGTGTTTTCCAGATAAAGAGTCAAGTGATCATGTTCTATATTGTAGCTGAAATGAAATGGTCGCGCCTCTAAAGAGAATAAGAAATCTTTCAAAGGAGGGATCACACGGGGTAGTTTCTCATTTTAGAAAAATCATTAAGGGAGCAAGCCTCGAAGACAGAAGGGGTGGGGGTTAGGCAATAAATACATTTGGTTTCTCCGATGTGTATTTGACACTTTTATGACAGAATTCTTTTGTCTAAGAGATAGCTATCTAGTCAAAATTACTAGGTTGTTCTCAAAATATATGCTTATTTTTTAACACCGATATGTCAAAAACTAATCGTACAATTCAAGATTTTGCTTTAAGACTGTAAAAGGAAAGCAATGAGCTATCAACATTGTATATATCATTTGAAAAAAATAAGTTAGGATAGGGGAACTTATTATAGTATTGAAGACTTTTTTGATGCTTTTTGACTTTGTATGCTGTTGTATGTAATTTATTTTTTCTTTTTTTATCTGTTTTTGTTACCCCTGCTATATGTGTTAAATATTAGTTTTGTACAAGACGTTTTATCTTTCTCAATGTAAAAAATGTTCCCTGTTGTTTTAAATTATACATTTTCAATCATTTCTCTGGTTCTTGAATAGAATGAATGAATGAATTTTTTATCCTGATTTTTATTTATTAAATGTTTTGTGAGGTCTTCTATTTTAAGTATGTTTACATTTTTTAGATATATTTCGTTCCTACAACTGTGTACTTCATTTTTTAGACATAGGATCAGCTTTTGTGAACAAATATTTATATTTACACAATAAAGCACATTTTGAGTTTGAGTTTAGCTTCCCCCTAACAGGTGGGGCGGGGTGAATCAAAAAGTGCTTCATTTTGGTTCCCCCTCCAATCCCCCGATATGTATTTGAGATCTTTCTGATCACTCATAGCTGCCTGACGATACGTATACATATTTCCTTATGGGATTTTAAAGAATGGCTTGTGCGAAAAATATTAGTATACTTGGTTTGGGCAAATTTAGGTATTTAATTTTTTTTTTGAGAGAGAGAGCCCCCTCTATGTCCAAGTCCATGAAAATAACCTGGGGGGGTCCATCAGTCATATATGACTGACATAGATAAAATGGTAGAGAAAGCTAAAAACAAACAAAAAAGTTACTATAAACAATATAATCTATCATTTCAGCCACTTTTTAAAAAAAATTAAGAGAAAAACACGCGTGGCCTTGTGGGATATTTTCCCAATATACACATTAAACATCGAATTTTTTTGAATACATTGAAAGAGTAACCAAACAAGCCATGCGATTGTTGGGATTTGTGATGAGCAACTTGAGATATTATTTTAATAATTATTTACCTACACCTTTGCTTATTTAACTATAGTTCGCCAAATCCTGGAGTATGCGATTCCTGTTTAAACTGGTGAATAATATGATCCAGTCACCTCAGAAATTTATCTTTGGTTGGTTTAAATGTACCTGAGAATGTACCACATGGCAAAAGAATCGATAGATTATTTTATGTAGGTACAGTCGAGGGTACAGTTACAGTATCCTTGTAACTACTGTGGGTACAATCTTCTATGGCTGGAATTTTAAGACTGGCAAATGTTTCGATAAACAAATTGAATGTAAATATTTTAAACATTGGTTTGTAAAGTTTTAGAAGTCAAATTAAATCCTAAAAGTATGATGATTGTTTTATTATTGGTTTTTATTGTTGTACTTATTTTGAACTCTTTATTATTTAGGTGTTAATTTGAATTACATACTCTACATATTTTAGCGTGTGCTGTTTGTTATTTTAATACTCAGCGTTTTGTTTTATTTGATGTTCTATTTAGATAAAAATTACAATTCGATTGATCGGTTCTACATCATACCTCTCAATAACTACTAAATATAAGATTACTACTTAGAATTAATGCACTTTAAAATGGCAAGTCCATACATTGAATTTATTTCACCCTCCCCATATAGACAATAAATCCATCACCCGACCCAACACAGATTTCACAAAGGTCCAATAATAGACCTTACATTGATAATGAATGATAACATACAAAAAATGGGGCTCATATCCAAAATATTATATCCTAATCATATTATTGTTAAGATGGCACTGCGCTTGTTAAGTGGGAGATTTGCTGTGGTTAAACTTTTCATAAAGTGCATTTGAAGATAATAAAATTTTACCTCGAGTACACTCTCCTTCCATCAGAATCTGTATAACTTCTAGTTGAAAACCTTTCAGAATAACTTGATGCTCGAGGGCTATAGGTAGATCCACTATAATAAGGCCTATCCAATCTATCCAAAGTACTGCTATAAGTAGGTCTATAAGATCCTGACAGTCCAGATGAGGAACTTCTATGCGGGCTCAGTACAGGCATTTTGTACTGATTCAATAAGTTATAAAGCAAAGTATCTAATTATTGACCCTATTTAGGCAAGATGTTCGTTTAAACCATGTCGTTATTTGTGGAGCTGAAAAACGAAAAGGAAAGGTTAAAAAACGCTCTTGTTAAAAATAGCCGCTTTCTAGCTATTTTCTAAAATATGTCACTTTAAATTCTGTATAAAAGTAATGGGCTAAAATTAGATTCGTTCATGAGCAAAAATTTGCTGAATTTATTGCATTTGTTATACCTATGTATTTTCTTGAAAGCTAGAAGGCATTAATACTAAGCCATAATGAAAATTAGTTCCACCTAAATTTATTTGGCACTGCTTTTGAAATGAAAATTTGAATTTCCTGCTGAAAAATCCTGAAATCTACAAATAAACATTCCAAAAAAAAATATCACTTTTTGACTATAAATTCTAGTAGCCACAACAAAACGCAATTGATGGAAATATTTAGAGATCTTACCAAAGTCCGTTTCGCTAATCGAATCAAAATATTAACAAATATTTTCTTGGAAAAAATAAATAAAAAGCTGCCTTGCCTTTCCTGGATCTCACACAGCGGCCATTTTTCAGTTGTGATGCTACGTTGCCAGATTGGAAGGATAGAACGTTCACTGAACTGTCAATAGAACATTGAATTGAAAATCTACTGCATAGGGATAAAAATTAAACCTATTCAAATAATCAAACCAAAAGTTGTTTGAATTTATTTGATGTTAAAAGCTCTAGGTTTACCAAAAAAACAAACAATTATTAGAAGCGAGAATGTAAAAATTGTCAATCGGGCAACGCCGCAATGACGTCACAATACGACTGATCGGCCTCGAGCCCACCCATCCCATTACTGTTATGACCTTGATAGAATTTTATCCAGATGACTAATAAATAATTAGGTCATTCTTTTCTAAAATAAAATTTGTTTTGTACATATTAGGGCTATTGCAATTTCATTTATAGGCACCCTATTTTGGACAATAATTGTGCGCAAAATTAGATTCCAAGAATGCGGATTTATAAGTAAATATTGGTTTCGCGCTGCAGTGCTGCAGAAGTACCTACATTCATTTTTCTCATTTCTTCAGTTATCCGTGGTTGATTTTTCTTATTACTTATATGTTTAGGCAACATTTTGGTTGCGCTAAAAGAAATCTACTTCAAACCAAACATCAACCGTTTTTGAGGTCGAAATTTTTCTAATCTTTGGCCTTTGATAGATTTGATTGAATAGGTTTTGTATAAAAAATATTTTCTAATTCAATTTTATACTTTCTTTACCATCAGTCCTTTAACTGGGTTATTTTTACTTTTAACTAAACTCAAAACGATGTAAAAATATTTAGTTTGAATTCGCGCCATCCGCATCCATATTGGTTGCACGTAGTAACAGGTCAAGTTGCCATAGGAAAAAGAAGAAGAAGAACAGATTAGATGATGAGTCAGATGAGTGACAACTACAACATAACCTAACCTCACTTTAACTCAAAACAAAACTCAAAATAAAAGTGAAAATCTTCAAATTCAAACTCAAACCCACATAACATATAAGTTGTTGTCGCTTTTTCTTTATTTGCTCAACGAAAATAACCGTTTTTAAAGTATTTAAAAAAATGGCATCGGCCAGCAGCACTTCAGCCCGATCGTTGTTTCAAGATTCCAAAACTCGACTAGCTGATAGGGTTCAAGTAAATGTAAACAACATAGCAGCGGTGGCCAGACAAATTACCAGAGGATCCAAAAGCCAAGAAGTAAATTCTTAATATTTTAATAAAACATTATTAGCACGTTCGCGGACAATTTCTATAAGTATGTTTTGCTTAGAATGTAAATTTTTGTATTTCCATAATGTTTGGTGTGGTAAATTGGTTTTTTCGCCGTGAACTGGACAATTTTGAGGTGAATAGACACTGTGGCAGGACTAATTAACTGAAAATACATGTAGCTATATGGGATCAAAGACGGCTAGAGCCGTTATTTGCTTATTGAAGAAAACTGGGGTGACTGGTATAGACGTCATGTCCTAGGCAAAGGAAAAGAATATGATGGCTTTAGCCGTACTGTCCGCGAACCTGTTAGTTTAGTACTGTGCACCAAAATCACAAAAATCGGGATTTGTTGTCCGACAGATTGTAGAATCAACTCTGCCTGTATAAACCCATCTTTAAAACATTTTTATTTACGACTAATGTATAATGTGCGTATTATATTTGTGATTTTGGCAGTATAATGACATATGTTATTCCTCCAGGGATTAATGACGAGTAGCGGGATTAATGGTCATTATTCCACAAAAGTGTCAGTGTCAAACGTGTAGTGCTTGTGGATTTGTATTGAAAATTATGAGACGGATGAAATTTGTTCATTGAAAATCTCAAATAAATTAATTTGTCGTAAATAAAGTAGAGTATACTACTCGCAATAATGGCTATTATTCCCTCGGAATGTTACTCCCTCGCCGCTAACGCGGCTCAGTTTGTAATAATCCTCGGGAATAATAGCTATCATTATTGACTCGTGGTATAATCTACTATTATCTCAATGGGCTGGCCACACATATTCAATATCAACTGACATACACATTTTGAACTGTTCAATCTCAACCTCGATCTCAAATGACATTTCGAACTGTTCAATTTCAACTGACATTTTGAAGTATTTTGAACTGTTCAGTTTCAACTGATATTTAGAACTATTCAGTTAAAACTATAAAACAAAGTGAAGCACCTACTGCATCCAAATGAACAGTTCGAACTATCAAGTAAAACTGAATGTGTAGTATGTGTCCAGCCCAAGGCACTTTACATAATCTCTTGGAATGCAAACTCTATTTTTCCCAAAAGATACGAGTTTGCATCCTTATTACATAAGGATAATGTTGACGCAGCATTAGTCCAGGAGATTAACACTTTCACTGCGGAAGACGCACATATGCATCCAAGGTTGCCTCCACTACTTGCGTACGACGCGCTTGTGCGTCTTCTGCGAATGGAGTTCTAATGTACCAGAACGGATTTCGCAAGTACGGAGGGATTTTTATTTCTGTCCGCACATAACAAGAGGTTTGCCCTTACCTGATAGGACCCGCACATTGGTAAATGGCCTTTTTTTAGGGCCGCAGTGAAAGTGTTAAGTAAATAAATAAATAAATAAGTCTTTATTTCCAACAGGAATAATCCCAATTACAGAAAAAAGTACAAAAAAAAAATTAAATAAATAAAAATAACAAACAAACAAATCTATAAAGTAAAAAAACAAAATAAAAAAACGAAATAGACACAAAAATGGTGTTCAAGTAGATGCGAGTAAACTATAATTAATGCAGGATAACAAACAAAATCAAAGTATAGTGTAACAATAGGGAATTCTCATAAGAAATAAATATGGCTTATTTTGTTTTTATGGTGCACATTTTTGTGTAAAATATTGAATATGAGAAGTTTTGTATTAAATTTATGGATATTATAGTCATATGGCAATTATTAGTTTTAAATTGAAAAGTTTCGCGCGGAAAAGTTACGTTTAACATGGCCGCTTCCAGTGACATCAACTGTTCGTAATTTAAGGTTAAGGGTAGTTTACACTGATAGTAAATCCACGGTCCACACTTTCGTGGTTCACTCTTGAATCGTGGAACGATTGGTCCACGATCAGCTCACGTCAAGCCACGACTGATATTGAGCTACCATAAACGGGTCTATAGAGGGAAGATTGTCAGACTGCGCTTTTGTAAATCCTGTATCAACCATGATGAACTATTTGAAACAGAAAATGGCACGAAATATGGAAATACCGCATAAATAGCCGCTTTCAAGTTTCAATGCAGTCGAAGGTTCAAGCTAAGCGATTCTTTCCGACAGTTTGCGAAGTATCAAAGGTCTTGTGAGAACAGACCTTAACGTTGTGTTTACAGACAGTTGACGTCACAAATGCCACCATCTTGAAGCTAATCGTTTTCGCGCCAACGAAAATAATTTGAAATTCAAAATAATTTTTTTATTTCAATGAGGACATAAAACAAAAAAAAAACATATACATTTTATATTTGAAAACATAAGCAATAAGAAAAAAAATACTTTGAAAAATATGATTGTTCCCTATTGTAACAAAACAAAAAAAAAGAGAAGTTAAGCAAGTCAAGCAAAAATTTAAACATTCAGTACAGCCTGAATTATTGATTGTATAGAATCGACATTCATGTCACAGTCTCCAGAAACCTCATTAAAAACTCTGCACATAAAATATAAAGGACTTCTGTATAATATGTTGGTTCTGGCAGTGTGCAAATAAAATGTCTCATTATACCTACCCACCAGCCTGGGGACCCTATAATAAATGCTCTCAATGAGATTTGGACAGTCTATTTTACCATGCAAGAGGTTATACAGAAACTTGACAGCTTGGAGCCTTCGTCTCTGAGCCAAAGACACTTCATCAAACTCCAAAAGTAACGCAGTATGGTCAAAACCTCTATCGGTATAGAAACCATGTCTTTTGAAATGGAGGTACTTAAGAAAACGCCTCTGAATAGACTCGGCTGTATTGGCGTAACAATTATATATTGGGTTCCATAGTATGGAGCAGTAATCAAGTTTTGACCGAACAAAGGTATATTATAGAAGCCTAAGTATGCTCAGACTACATACTACGTACAAAACTATACTATATGCTCGACTATATGTATACAGAAATGACAGACCTAACCGTGCTGGTGGTGGTACTGCCATTTTATTTAAAAGCAATTTACCTCATGAGTAATGACACTATTACCACTAATGCCACTCCTGCCTCTGACAATGTGGAATATACTGGTGTGGTAGTCCTCCTTGCAGATGGCTCTCTTAATATTTACAGCGTTTATAAGCCTCCTTCTCAGGGGCGGCTTCTCAATAAGTGCGCTCGTGCGCGCGCACTGCCTCCAAAAACCAAGCAAGAAAATAAAATTAAAATTTTGAAAAGAAAAGAAACTTCAATTAAAAAATACCTACCCAATTTTCTAAATTAGGATAAATATCTACTCTCTACTCATTTTTGTATTTTTAAATTCGCACGAACGGAACGAAAGCGCGCTCTGCGCCTGTCTTGTATATTTTTTTCTCCGCTTGGTTGTGCTGGTGGTCCGGGTGGTCGGTGTGGAATCGTTCGGCGCTCTGGGTAAATGTGTTTTCTCGCTGTGCGATTGATCGGGAATATACGGTAAGTGGCCCGATGAAAGGGATGCGCCGTGCGCTATTTGAATACACACTTCCAATGTTGTTTCCACTCAATCGAGAATATTTCGATGTTTTTTCATCATTTTGGCGGTTTGACAACTCTGTTGTTCGCGGTTTTTTTTTTTAATTATAAATTTCAATATCAATTATGTATAATGGCTAGAATACAAACATTCAAGCCTCATTTAAATACATATATTTTTGTTTTCGATAATTTTTCCTAAAGTAAAAAGAAACAAAATCAACATACAAAATAAATGTAAAACAGGACGTGGCACCTCCAAAAAATTTTCCAAGAGCGCACAACCACACTTGGTTGCCACTGGCCGCCACTGCTCCTTCTAAGCACTTAACCATTGATGATATGAACCTCTTCTTTGGTTCTGATGCTCCGACCTTAGTTGCAGGGGATTTAAACGTTTAAACTGAGATCTAAACTGCAAAAACATGCATGGGGGTGTCACACTAATAATACAGCAGGAACTTTTCTACTTCAATTTACCCAAGAAAACCTTATCTCAGTTCATGCTCCCTTAGAGCCAACTCACTTTTATTATATTACTCTCATTCTAGACCTTGCTCTATCTAAAAATGTCCCCTATGACATAGTTATTGGCAATATAAATGATCTCAGCTCCGACCACAATCCAATTAGTCTTGAAGTTGGTGACCAGGTCCGAAATACTCACCATACTTTTTCCTTTAACAACTATCCGCAATTCAAATCTCATCTTGGAGCCAATCATATCCCCCCAGACATTTCAAACACGACTCTGGTCATTGATAGTGCTAACTCATTTACTGAAGAAGTGAATGTTTAAATAGCACAAAAATTACTATTACCACTAAACCAGAGCTGGGCAAAGCCATCAGTGAAAGGGCTTGTAGCACTAAGCCCTAAGTCTTTTCTCAAAGTGCTTCCAATTTCAAGCACAAAGAGCTCAAAGTGCTTTGTGCTTGGCAAGTGCTTCAAGCCCTTTCAAAGTGCTTCAAGCCCTTTTAAAGTGCTTCAAGCTCTTTGGAAGTGCTTTAAGCTTCCAAAAGTGCTTCAAGCCCTCTAAAAGTAATTGAAGTTCATTGAAAGGGCTTGAATTACTTTTTTTCAATTACAAATTACCAAGCACTTTTCTGAAGTAATTGACTTTGTAAGCCCCAATTACAAATATGTAAAAGGGCTTGAAGCACAGGGCTTTCAAGCCCTCAAAGTGCTTCAAGCACTTTTACAAGCACAAAGCACTCAAGCCTTGCCCAGCTCTGCACTAAACAAAACAATCCCTACTCACTACCACATTACATACGCCAGGAAATTAAGTTGAGAAATCGACTTAAAAGACTGGCAACAACGACTAGAAACCCTAAAGTTGAACTGGAATGTAACAGACTTACTAACTCAATTAAAACTTTGATTAAGGAGTCTCTTCTAAATAAGAAAAATAGGCAAATTCCCACGGTAGAGCTGGTTTAGTGTATACCAATCAAGAAAAAGCAAGTGCTTTTGCTGACTGACTTCAATCACAATTATCGTTAATGAAAACTTTGATGATGATATTGATCATGAAGAAGATGTAGACAGACCCTACAGAGAAATCTGTAGTTTGCCTGTGCCTCTGAATGATACATTAACTTCTGTCGTAAAATTCTTCATTACCCGTTCAGTCAGCATAAAAGCCTTTGGGTATGATGATATAAGTAATAGAGTCCTCAAAAACCTTCCGGACAATGACGTCGCAACGTTAACTCGCATTCTAAATAAATGCCTCAATCTCAATTACTTTCCTGAAGCATGGGAACTGACAAAAGTGATCCTAATCCCAAAACCAGATAAAGATCATCATTTTCCACGAAATTGCCGTTCTATTAGTCTCCTGTGTTCTCTTTCCAAAATTCTTGAGAAAATAATTAATGAAAAGCTTAAATCCTTACATTAAGTATCTTGAAAGCATTCTCCCTAATGAACAATTTGGTTTTCTTTCTAAACATTTCAGCTTGCCAGACTGGTAAAAAAAAACCACTCGCGTCTTGCAGAATCGATCCTCAACGGGTGTTGCGCTGCTGGATGTTGAGAAGTCCTTTTATCGTGTCTGGCATGCTGGCCTCATAGTAAAACTTCATGATAAATATTTTCTGCCATTATCTCTCGTCACAATTATTATCAATTTCCTTAAAGCCTGAACTTTCCATGTGAAACTCAATACATAATGATATAATTTCTCAAAGTCAGACCTATAGAAGCAGAGGTGTACCCCAAGGCTCAGTCCTTGTCCCACTGCTCTATAAACTCTACACAGCTGACATTTCCACTAATCCTCATACAAAAATGTCCATCTTCGTAGATGACACCATGTATTTTTACCTCACGAAAGATTTCTCACTTCATATCCATTTACATCTACGTTTACAAAATCACCTTGAATCCAAAATTATAGAAAATCGAAATTAATGTCGATGAGACCCAACATATCGACAACCTCATACTGGACGATTCTGTAATAACTTGGACAAACCAAATTAAATTCTAGACAATAAACTTCTTGGACTCCATATATGTGCCACAAATTGAACAAATCCAAAAGATTAGTGGAATTGCTTTTGTCCCTACTTAACAAGGACAGTAAATTAACTCACACTACTGCCTAGACAAACAAGTCATAAGATCCTGTTTAATTTACGGCGCACCACTCGCACCAGTTTTCCTCAGACTTCACGACAAAACAAGCAGAAACTGCAAACGTTTCAAACCAGTGGAATCCAAAGGATGGTCGACGCTCCGTGGTATGTTCCCAATGTGGACCTAAATACGGATCTGAGCGTCGACACAATCCAGGAGTATCTTGATGAGAAACATACGCGGTTTCTTGACTCAGTAACTAACCATACCAATGACAACGATAATTTTAACCCTGACAGGACTCGCCTATGAAATTTAAAAGCTCAGCGTAAGATTGCAATCGCACTAAAGCTCTATAAACACAGACAGCAGCAGCAGCCCAAGGCATAGTTTTGGTCAAATTGACTATACATAACCAAGACCAAGAATGACCACCTCCAAAATTCTTAGGACAACCTTTTGTGGAAAAATAGGATGAGATACACCTCAAAATGTTCTGAGAACCATTGTCTAATAAATCAGTTGTGCCCGCGACTTCCTATATCTGGCGTACAACACAGTTAGGCCTTCTGCACACGATGTTTATTGTCACAGTCAAGATTCGATGGTTTTAGCCGGTTTCGGGTACCACTTGCGAGCCTCAATTTTCAAGAGAAGTTGACCGGTGACACCCGCACCTCGAAATCTCGATTCGTTTTTAAGCTACAAGAGGAAAAGTTGACCAAATTTTCATAAATAAAAAAGTTATAGCCCCCTGCCAAACTCCAAACTTTTCAAAAACACCTCGTAGCATAAAAACGACTCGACATATAGAGATGCGGTTTTCATCAGTCAATTTCTCTTGAAAATCGGGACTCGCAAGTGGGGGTCAGATTTTTTCCAACTTCTCTAGAAATACCTGAAACCCCTAAAACCATCGAATCTTGGACACCCTGTACACGGGGCGTACTTTAAACGTACGGGTAAATTGTGGGTAATTATTTTCAATTAATTGCAACAATGTTTTATCGGCCATTACAACCTAAGAAACCGACCTTCGCTCTAAACATGCAGCTAAGCGACTGACAGTGCTACGTCACGTGTATTGCAGTTTGCATGCTTAGACGAAAACGCGACGCTGCGTCTTCATGTACATACTCATTCACTTTAGTGAGACTAGTGAGAGAGACAAAAACTCACGTCTTTCGTAAATTGCGTCTTGTATGCATCTATGGCGAGAAGCCCCAGGTGCAAAAGGCCTAAGAACAACCTGATTGATATGAATTATCTTAGACACAGTCTTAGAAATGGTAAACTTAACAACATTGCAAATACCACCATTGAACCAGGCATTTCCAAAACACAGTTTCAAAAATTATTAAGAGCTCATTCATTTTTCACTTAAAGATGGGATGATAAGTTAAATTACCATGGTAGTCAAACGATTCGCTATCAAACTGTTTCCAAACACTAATAATTACGAAACTTCTTTCAGATTCTAATGCATTCGGCCCGCAACTTTGCTGCGCAAGAAATTCTTATCGAGAGCTCAGAAAACAACTTGAAACGGCTGCAACTTTTGTGTGCTCATCTCGGAGTTCAACAGGATGCTCTGCAAAGGAGGGCCAGCCAATTGGAAGAAGTTAAAGAGCAAGTGCAGGCTATGCAAAGATGATTTTGACTTTTTTTTTAATAGTAATGCAACTGGTAATATTTGAATCCAAAGTTTATTTTCATCTCATGGAATATAAATTAACAAAATAATTTAGTGTCTAGCTCTAGATTTCTTGCAAATTAAACATAGAGCTAGATTTAAATCAAACATAACTGTTAAATAATACAAAACATAGTTAATATAAACACACATCTCATTGAGAATATTTTTGTAGAAGTGATTGAAGCAAACAAGAATCTATTAAATAGGGAACCACAGAATGTATACTGAGTAAAGATGAGAAATTGGAATACATATTATAAGTCACGTTTTAACAACTAAGAAAGAAACCCTAATGATTCTTATAATTTTTAATTTGGTGGTTCAAGTGTGAAGACTTTTATCAAAATTTTTATTATTATATTATAATAGGTACAGAATAAATATTTGAACTGTTTTAGATATAAAACTAACGTTAAATTAACAAAATATTAATCCAGAACAATTGGGGTATCCACTAATGTAAATACTGCAGAAATTTGAGGCATAACAGGTATTTGAGTTGCTGCTGGTTTTATTGGGACAGGCTGAAAAATAATGATAATTTAATTATTATACTAGTCAATGATAGGTATTTAATTTTTATTAATTCAAAAGTTTAATGTAACGGTTAATATACTATTATGATATATCATATCAATAAACGTCTCAAAAATTTAAAAACGCATCATATATCAATTTACTCCATTGCTCACAGTCACAAACTTACTTTTTTTCGTTGTGTTTTGCTTGTGGTTTTGGTACTCGTTTTGGTATTCCATAACCCAGGATGTTCTCGTTTGAACAATTCTCGTAGCAACCTCGCTTCTTCCATGAATGGCCACTTTTCTTTAATTTCTAAATTTTTCCAAGTATTTACAGCGATTTTCAATCGTGCTCTAGGCTTTAAGAGTGGAAATTTTTTGTCCAATTCTGGTTTCAATTTTTCCTTGTATAAGGAAAAAGAAGTGGGTGGTCTTTTTATCCTTGTATCACTCCTGAAAAAAAAAAATTAACTTTTGAAATCATAAAATTAATCTTGAACTATTTTTACTCTTTATTTGTAGATTGCTCCTGAAGCGTTGAACAATCATCTATTTCCTGAATTTCATCATCATCACTAATACAAATAAAATTATTTTGTTCTTCTGTGCTTCTTGCATTTTCTTTCATTTCATCATTAACAGAAGACCTGGACGAGTTCTGTTGAGAAATTTCAGTTTCATCGTCACTAATTACCAGACTATAGTCATTATTTGTAACTGTAACTATTTTAGGTGGTTTTAATGGTACTGCTGGCATAATATTTTCCACAGATTTTTCTAAGGCCTGTATTGGTAACAATTTAGGAATGGAAAGATTTCCAGTCTCATTTTGAGTTATATTAGAATCTGAAGGCCACATTAATGGAGTATCTAAAATTGTTTTGTATCAATTTAGAAGATGACTAGAAAGTTCTGTAAATGTTTGGAGTAAAAATTTTATTTGCTTTTATATAATACCGAGTATAATACAATAATACATATAAAAAAACAACTTGCCTCTATTTTCTCCATTGCCATTAGTAACATAAACCCTTCCACCACTATTCATATAATGTGCTCTAGTGTCTGAATTCATTATAGGCAACCTATTATTCATAAGCATTCCTTGTTGGCCAATAACAGGCATCATTAAAGGCTGATATTGCAAATTATTTGGCGTTACAACTGGAATTCCTTGAGAAATTAATTGCGAAGCTTCCTGCAAGTCCACAGCACGTATTTCTTTAACAACTCTCGCTGGTTGATGGCAATTAGGTTCAACAAATTCCGTATCAGAATCAGAATCGATATCAATCACATCTGAGCATGAATTAGCCGTTGTTATGGCTGTAGTATCAGTGACAGCTGTTGATGCTGAAGTATCATCATCATCAATTTTCAGCACATCTCGGACCAATACAAATTTTCGATGATCATGACCAATGTGACCAATTAATTCATCATATGATTCAAATTTACCTGTGCAATCAATACAAGTTAGTGATTGGGCGGCAGGATTACTAGATTTTGCAACTTTGGCGGTGCAATTGTGATTATCTAGTTTTTGTGATGTTTCAAATGATATTCGGCACAAATTGCAATTGTTACTTTTTGTTTCTATCGAATGTCGATGTTCACTAGGAGGCTTAAAAAAAAATAGACTCCATCAGAAGAAAAATTAAACACAATTAGTTGGACATTGTTTTACAAATATTTTCCATAATTAAAATACCTACTGCATTGGATTACCTTGTCTGTTTTGCTGCTGTCCAAATTTTTATTTTCAGGAGTCCCTTTACAATCATGCAATCCACCAAGGGTCGGAAGTACACATGAACAATGCGGACAAAAATGTTTATTATTATCTGCCTTTGAACAAGGATGGATTACAAAGTTTTCTATGGTATTGTAGTTTCTAAGGCATCTAGGGCAGCTTATATGTATCTCATCAGATATTGGTTCAGTTTCCCTGTAATTTTGTTTAAAGTTAGTCTTAGATTGAAATTCAAAGTCTACAAAAAAATGTAGGATGCAGGTATAAAATTGTCAAAACACCCAATTATTTTAGGTGAATTAAATCAAATACTTACTTTTTTATGAAATTATTTTCCGACTCGTTGATTACTCCATATAAAGCTAAAAATTATACTTATAGGTAAACGAATAGTCTATTATTAAAAAAAAAACACCTTACTTGAAACCCCATGTGTACTAGCCAAATGATTTCTCATTGCTTGAAAGTCACCACAACGAAAATCGCAAGTGAAGCATAAAAACCTATTTGATTTTATGTGACGAGAAAAATGTTCCTGAAGCTGAAAGACATTATCAATACAAAGCCAGCATATATGACATTCAAACATTTTTTTTTTATTTGGGAATATTTGCTTGGTGTCTTGTATAGGAATGTCAAATTCTTCAATTTCCTCTATTTCTTTATACAATCCTATTCCATGTTCTCGTTTAAAATGAAACTCCACTAAATTAGCGCCTTCTAAAATTTTTTGACACATCCAACAAGTGAACATTTTCTCTGTGAAGTGACTTGTAATGTGTTTCTTCATCTCATCAAAAGAATTGTATTGTACAGGACATATTTGACATTCATAGCAACATTTTATTAATTTTTCAAACTTAGCTTTGGTTGATTTTTTGAGACGAGATAAACGGTGGTTTGGTTTCTCAACAGGTTTATACATATCTAAAATATTTAAGGTGGTTTTAATAAGTTTCTTATCCAATCAGATGATTTTCAGTAAGAGCATTACATTTGAGCGCCACATAATCAGAAAAGTTTAAATGTAATAATTAGTCTAGACTATCTTAGGTAGATTGTATACAAGTAATAAAATAAGAGCTAAAATGTAAAAGAAACACCCATTGACCAAATACATATTGATCTCCAGGAGTGTGAAATTCAGAATTTGTACAGCTCTGGAATCTTTTAGCAAATTTTATAAGGATATTTTAGCTTAATATGAATAAAATCAATTACCTAGCTTATGTACACTTTTAATATGCTCCCTAAGATCTTGTAATGTGGTAACACAATATTTACACTTGAAACATTCAAAATTTTTGTTATTTGAGTGCATCTCTTTCATATGCTCTGTGAGTAAATGATCAGATCTACATAATTTGAGACATACCAAACACATTCTAGTGACAGAGCCTTTAGGCCTGCCTAAAATAAAATCATTCAACATAAATATTTGGGTTGTGTTTTCTCTCTGCGGGACCTAACCGTGCTGATGAGCTGTTGTACAGCGAAACGCGTCCACGGATGGTCCTGCAGAGAGAAAACACTTCTCAATCGGTCCTTAATTGTGCCGTTACCTAATTATAAATATATTTGTTTGAATCTAGGTTAATTTAATGGACTGTGTAAAAATTTGAGATTGTTCACCTGCTTTTTTTTTGCTCGCTGTTTCCAGGTCTGGCGTTTCAACTTTTGGGGTAATCCGATTTGAAGAATTTAATAATTTCTGAACGTCAACTATTTCAAAACCATTATTTAAAGATTTAATTGACTGCTCTTCATCTGAAGGAACTTCTATTATGTCATTAGCAATCTCTGCTTTATGTTTTTTATCTGGAGGTTCGTCTAACGGTGTTCTGCAAGGTTCCAATTTAATTATTTCCTCAACATTTGCTTCTGGAACTGTCGTTGATGCTTCGACTTCAGAGTCGAAGTTTGTTGATGCTTCGACTTCAGAGTCGAAGTTTGTTGAAGCTTCGACTTCAGAGTCGAAGTTCGTTATTGCTTTGACTTCAGAGTCGAAGTTTGTTGATGCTTCGACTTCAGAGTCGAAGTTTTTTTCCAATGCCAGCGGATCTGTTGATGGAGCCATCTCGGCAGCCACACTTTTCACTGCTTGTATACATGTGAGTAGAAATCGATAAAAGCTTAGGAGAACAGTGCAGCATTCTCCGCAAATGAATGTTTCATTCAATAAAAATAAATCCTAAAACAATATTTTGGTAATTATTGTTTTTATACAAATTTTGGTATAGGACAGAATGAGAAAATAAGTGACCTAGATAGTTCATGTTTGCAGAATATTAATAGAGGTAGAGAATAACAACCTTGATTATGTTAATTAATCTTATTCCAAATTTGCTTGGTTTTGCATCTTTATCATCCAAAGCCCCCAGATAGATACCTTCTATGAAAATGTTGTCAAGATTGAAATAAACTGATTAGACGATGATATATAATACATAAACTCAATTTACCATCACCCTTACCGTGAAGAAAAGTGAAAAACTTGCACAGAGATACCCCTCAAGATACCATAACTCTTCTATTACCTAAACCTAAAAGTAATTTTTATGAATTTGAAAACCAATAAAAGTGACGATCCCATTTTTACAAGAAACTCGGTGAATGCAATATTACTATACTCCCAAAAAAGTCCCTTTAAATCTGAAATTAAGCCACCTACTACTACTTACAAATTCTTCAATACATGTAGTAATAAATGTATTAAATTTAGAGCCATATTCTACAACTGCAAATTCATTATCCGCATTGGTCTCATAGCACATCCTGCAGATCTGTAGCTTTTTGTCACCATCATGATTTTTCTCAAGCAAACCTTTGGAAATAAGTACTTTGCAAAGATCGACAGTGTTTTCAGCATCCGTATAGTTTACAAGTTCATCTTCTTTTTCAACAAATTTCGATTTGAAATCGAAAAATTTGTCCAGCAACTGGTTGCAGCTGAAGCAAATTAGGAGATCTTTGACTGTGTCCTGTTCCTGAAATATATCAATTTGAAAATAAGTATTTACAGCATAACAATTTTATAGTATTCAGGCAGCTTTATATTTCTGGGAAATTCCTCGGGAAATTCTATATGACTGACAAAAAAGGAAAATATTTGTCTGGCTACATTTAGCGGTTCATTTAGCTTCAAAGATAGCAAAAGCTGATTGTGGTTTAATCTGGAGTTGAGTGTGATTGTAGAATAATTCTGCTATCTCTCATAATACGATATTTATTTGAATAATTGTGACATTTTAATGGGGATGGGAGTAAAAAAAGCAACCAAAAAGTATTTTTCCATTATTTGCTGCATTATATTCTCTGGAAGCTGTTGGTGAATCCTCAGCTGGTTATTACCAAACTAGAACTGATACTCAGTTTTAGCTTTTGTAGGTAAATCATCTAAAAATCCTGATCTTTCAAAAAGTGTAAACTATAAAGAAGATCGATCTCAAGAAGCCACCAATAACAAGTAGTAGCTGAAATATATTTAATTTGATGAATAGAATTTCTTCAAATATTGACAAGATTGAGAAAGCAGACTTTTAACTAGCTCAGATAAGGAGTTGTATGAGGGACACCCGTACAGCCCTGTCCAAAATAAGAACCAGATTTTAGAAGATACCAGACTAGAGCCTTGTACACCTACTTCTACTTCTAACCCTCTAAAATCAGATGATAGAGAACATGCTTGATACAGTAGAATAGATTGAATTTGATGAGCAAAGCATTCTTCACACATAGTAAATTAATTGCTCTTTGATCATTTTGTAATACTGTTCTAATAAATAAAAAATTAAACTTACGAAATCAAAGGTTTCCAATAAATTTTCGAACTTTTCCAAGTTTGTTTTTAGGGGCACGAAAGAAGTTGGACCGTGGGGTAATTTACAAAATATACATTCGACGCATTCCTCATTCATCTTGTTTTTTGTTTATAATTGAAAAAAAAAAACAGCAATAAACAAAAATATAATTAAACCATACTCTTTACTAGACTAGAGAAGTTTCTATCGATACGACATCCGATATGTATATCGATACCCCTTTGATTATAGTGCGGTTGTGAAAGTGGATAGTGCATATCGATACTACTTTGTCATATCTATTTGTATCGATATTCGATAAGGATCTTGCATTATATAACCGATATGAGTAATTTTTTTAGGTGGGTTCGGCTTGCTCACTCCATGCACTCCGAGTGACTCCATTCGTACTCCAGCCGTTCGGGTATGGCTTTCGGCGTGACTCAATTCGCGTTCGACAATATGGAGCGAAGTTAATGGAGTTCACTCCAAAAGTTCAACCTCGGAAAGAGAATTTTTTAAGCCTAGTACTCAAAACAGCGAAATACGCTCTTTTTTGACATTGCTTCGACAACGTTTATATTTTGACACCTATGGCGATTTGAATTCAAAACGATTATTCTCGTCCGCAACCGAGGTCGTTTTCAGAAAGCTAGTCGCGCTATGTAAAGAACCTAAGTAAAAATCATTGCTCCGAACCAGCCCGAAAAAATATTGCATCGGACTGCGTTCGATAACACGGAGTAAGGTATGTGAATCAATAAATAAATATTCGTTGTCGTACCGTTCGATTCGGACATCAATTAACATTCTAAAACAACTATTTTTCAGGGGTCGTTTGCTTCTCTCTCTTTGCTTATTGTGTTAATCAAATTTGAATATTATTTTTCATCATAAATGTATATTCTAAACTATGACCACTGGCGCAAACAGCTAACGACAACATTTGATCGCACATTCCGCGTATGGCTAAATTCAGCTGGTGTAGGTACCGTGGTATGGTGGGATGGTAGGAAAAGCAGTGTCGTTAATTTATATCCAAGAATGATAAACACTACTACTACAGGATAGCCTATCCTCATTAGGCCTGTATAGAGCAAATCCCCCTCCCCCCACCTTCCTTGTGCTAATTCACCAATTGTGACGTAGGCAGCATGTTATTTCTCGCCTTGACGTAGGCTGTTTAAACAGCTGACTAGTTATGACGTCGGAAAAGGTAACACCCAATATGGCGGCGATTACCAAACTCACTGTAAAAACGGGGCCGATAAGCAATCGTAGGTGTGGTGTGTATCAATTCTTGAAATTAAACAGGGATTGACAAGCTGTGATTTGGCATTGGCTAGTGAATTTTAATCACCAAATCCGTGGCGGTGCACCATTTTGGGTGAAGTTAGCAACACGCGGAATTTGATGCAATAGGAGGTGCGTTCAAAATTTTGTGCCAATTCCAATGGCCACAACTGGTCACACATATTACAACTTCACGGATAGAGTGAAATTTTAATATCTATCCACATTATGTTGCCCCAAATGGGCCAAATGCGGACTAGTACGAGTAGTACTTTCGGTAGCGTTTTTTTAAAGTTCGGGTGCGCAAATTTCACGCTGCTGAAGTGATCTATTCTCCGTCGTCTCTGTGGCTGAGTTCGAATTTATACTCTGTAAACTCTGTGCGCGCTCGAAACGAAAAGATGCTGTTCGTTTTAGCACTCAGGGTGTTCTCTCCTTTGCGTTCGGGTTACAATCGAGCACGTACCCTGAGCTCGCTCTCTTTTCCCTGGGGGGAGATTCTAAAATTACTATTCAACACATAACTCAACAACGAGACGAGTATTTCCGACGATGATCCTACGTTGGAATCATACCGGGGCCGGTATCGAGTTGCGTTTCCTTGTCGAGTCGTGAGTGGAATCGTGATTCTAGAATCTCCAGACTGGATGGATGGATAGAGTTTACGAGCATTCGTGTAGGATTCGAGTTTTCCTGTCATCTACGTTCGTATCGGTTTAGGTTTCGAACGTAGATGACAGGAGAACTCGAATCCTGCACGAATGCTCATAAAATTAGAATCGTAAATGATGACAAAAACGCTCGACTCGTATCGACTAGTAAAATGCGGCAATTTTTCGCGAGGATAACCAAGTTAATCTTTTGCTGGATTATGTAACGTGTCAATTGTGTCATACTCCCCTAACTAATCCCCCCACCATCAAATTCTGGGAGACTCAAGGATCAAAAACACTTAATTTCTTCTGTAAGAACAGAGCGAAAATCACCTTCGCTATATTTAAAAGGTGCGTACGAGTCCAACTACTGACACTTTTTACCCTGACCCGTCATAATGTCGCACTTTTTACCCCATTCGTACCGTTTAGGATTCCATTTTCTCAGTGTAGTTGAGATGGTTGCGTTCCAAAACATAACTGCACCGCACTGACGCTAACCGATTCAGACAAATCGTACGCACCATCGACAAAAAAATTAACTCACTAGCACAGCCTGAATCGAAAGCATTCCATCGAGGTCTGCGGGTGACGTCAACACTTTTAAGCTTACTTTTTCATCTATCCGATTTTCCGTCAATCCGATGATCCGGAAGTCCTATTGGTCCAGTATTTTGGCGTCAAAATATTGGGCAAATAGGAATACTTCCGGATCATCGGATTGATGGAAAAATGGATGCATGAAAAGTAAGCTTAAGTTGCTAGTAGTGACGTCACTCGCAGGCCGAGAATTTGAAAGAGAGGAAGTTAGGGGAGTATGACACATCACATAACCCAGCATAATCAGATTATGCTTGATTATCCTCGCTAAAAACAATGAACTAAACAAACACCCTGGAACGGTGGCTGCATAATGTTTCTAACGCAAGGGTTTGTGCCAGGAAGGACAACAAACAAGAGGAATTTGCATATCTCTCTGCACTATGGCGGCTATTGAGAACAGCTGTTTGAAATGTTATTTTAAATTAGGCAATCCAACGACCTGTCAATATTTATAATAGGTTTATGTACCCTCTGGTAACTGCACCAAAACTTCACGAGTATCTTGAAAAAAGTCTCTATTATTCTTACTGGAAAGTGGAATTCCTTCCATGTTTTGTCAACTGATTAGACAGGTAGAAACTTTTAAAATGACAGAACACACAACTTTTTATTTAAGTTCTCACATATCACAATTTTCCCGCTTTCCGTTATTTACAAATTTTTTATCTTTTTTGTTCTAACCATTAAACGTAATCATATCGCCAAGCTGGTTAGAGAAATGACATACCGTTTCCTAGCCCGGTTACAAAGTGACGTCATCGATACCACTCGAATTTGAGCGGTATGTTGCGGTTTGTCAAACCAAAGCCACGTGAAAAAAGCTATTGTAAAGAGACTGGAACATCAATTTGCTGGCCGGAGATTCTAAAATCACGATTCGACATACTACTCGACATCGAGACGATTTTTCCGACGATTCTAGGTTAGAAATCTCCTTGGAATTATACCATTCGAGACGACAAGGCCGGTATCGTTGTCGATTCGTGTGTCGAATCGTGATTTTAGAATCTCGGCCCTGTGCACTATAGGTCTGTTTCTGCAGAAATCACAAACTAGTCAGAGTAGATTTCATTGGTTGAAACTAGTTTTCTGACTGTTTTTAACCAATGAAATTCGCTCTGACTGGTTAGTAATTTCTGCAGAAACAGACCTATTGGGTCTGTTTCTGCAGAAATCACAAACCAGTCAGAGCAAGTTTCATTGGTTGAAAACAGTCAGAAAATTAGTTTCAACCAATGAAATTTACTCTGATTGGTGTGATTTCTGCAAAAACAGACTTATTATTTGCACCAATCCAGTAATCTGACCAGAACGGTTCCGGAATGGAAAGGAGTTGAGGGTGGACAATAGAGAGTTTTCGTGCCGTCCAAATTTCAATTACAATAACGCTATTTGACAAGTATGACAGTTCTTACGGTATTAGCGTTAGCGGAGTTCGCTATCTAACGGAACTTAGCGGATGCCTTACCGTAACGCTACGCTATGTCAAAACTAGTTTACGCTCCATTTATGTTACTTATAGTTGTATTCCTTTCAAGAGCTTGAAACACTCGAGCTACTCGCTTCGGTGCTTAGTCGCCCCCGATTTGCAGGGAAAATATGCGTGGTGCAACAAACACTTTTCGAAAGGAATAAGCGCGTGAAGCCCCGGAGCTGTTACGGAGCTCCTCCTAGGTGTGAAAGGAAAATTAATCAAGCTCAGGAATCTTCAGGATAAATCGAAGTTAGAAAACAAGCAAAAAAAGTTGCGTTAGATCACTCAACTCGGCTGTCAAACTGTAAACAGAAGCTTACTTTTTATGCATCCGTTTATCCGTTGATCCGGAAGTATTCCTATTGGTCCAATATTCTGGCGCCAAAATATTGGACCAATAAGAATACTTCCGGATCAACGGATTGACGGATAAACGGATGCATGAAAAGTAACGCTAAAGCCTAGTACTCATAACTGCGAAATTCGCATTTTTTTGACATTGCTTCGACAATTTGACGTTTGATACACGCATAAAACGTCAAATTGTCAACGCAATGTCAAAAAAATGCGAATTTCGCAGTTATGAGTACTAGGCTTAAGGGTGGATTTCCATGCATCCGTTTTTCCGACGAAATATGTCCGAAAAACATTCTATTCTGACATAATCGTATATAAATATGTCAAAATAGAAGACTTTTCGGACATATTTCGACGGAAAAACGGATGCATGAAACTCCGGCCTAAGGGATAAGAGAATTTTTGTACCTTCGTTTCCGAGAACTATAAAATATCATGTGAAATTCCGTATTGTTAGCGGTACCGTATTAGCGTAGCATCTGAGGCACGAGAACTTTCTAATCTCAACTCCCAGAATAGAAGTTACCAACCCAAGAATCGTAAACTAACAGGATTGCTCATCCTAATAAAGTGTACGTTTCCCAATTCACGACTCAGCAGCAAGTCTGCAAGTGACTTCACTATGGGTGATAGTGTTGACGTCACCCGCAGACCTCGATGGATTGCTTGCGAATCAGGTTGTGCTTGTGAGTTATTATTATTTTTTTTAATGTAAAAAAGGTGATTTTAACGTTTTGAAATTAGGTTTTTTGACTTTGAACTCGGATAATGCATTTCTGTGTTCGGGTGCAATAACTATTGGCATGGACCATCACTCTCTTGGAGTACTCTAGAGCATCATACACTATACATCACTACACCCGAAAGCGGCTCTATATTAGTAGAGCTGGAGTATCGAATATCGATTTATCGATATCGAGGTGTTGGAGTAATCATAAAAACATACGTCTCAATGATCCTCGATCCTCGTTTTCCTTCTTTCCTTTCCTAATTCCTACTCCTGGAAATTGTGGAAAAGAGATTAGGGATTTCCTCTTAGGATTTCCTCTCCACTAAAATTATTTATTATATTAGTAAAAAATGACTGAAGTGGATGTTTTTATAAGCAATTACACTCTAGTTGATCCAGAAATTTATGATTTATGGATAGAAGGACATACAGGTAAAGAAGGAAATATCCAAAATAACTAAAACAAACAATAAATTATTAATTTAGATTATAAATTTGTTCTTGGTGATTCTTTAGTCTATCCCATTTGTTTTTTGTCATTTCTTTGCTTTGGACTCCTTTAGATATTTCATCTACTACATACTTTGGCTATTAAAGTCTCACATCCACTTTAATTCTAGCCAGTGAAGCTGTAGCTATCCTCGACAAAAAAGGTCTTGGCAAAGAAACTGGAGCCTCGTTGGAACTCATTGCCAGTGATGTCTTGGATCATTATCGTACCTATTCCTTGCTAGAGAAACTATTAAGTAATCCCAGCAAGTTACACGAACAAATGGCTTTTCAAATTGAACCAGATACTAGACAATTACTTATTGAAAAATATTACGAGTTCAATGATGTAGTTGTCAGGGAACTATTAGGGAAAAAGTTGAGTTCTAAAAATAGGAAGGATTTAGACGAAGTTGCAGATAAAACTGGAAAGCCTTTGAAGTCTTGTAGGAGACAATTTGACAATATCAAAAGGGTATATAAAATCGTAGAAGAGATTCCAGGTTCTATTGTTGAAAATATAAAAAAGTATTTCTATTTATCAGACGAATTAGCTAAAGAATATGCCAGTATTGTGTTTTTGTCATCCATAAGATTTGAAACATCAAAAAAGGTTCTAAATACTAATATGTTGTGTGCAATTTTTTTTATTTTGTCATTAATAATTTATAGAAACTTAATACAATGAGTTTTTCTGGTTGGAAAAAATGTTGTGAAGCAATAATGGCTCATTGGACTTATAAATTAGTAGGACCTGAATATTATGACACTGAAATGGATAAAGAATTTTTGTTGGAATTAAGAGAACTTAAAGTATTGTTGGATAGGGAAAAAGAACATAAACAGTAAGATATACTAATTATGTAAAAACATTGCTTAATTAACGAATTTTTTTTTAGATTAGTTTGTGTTACTCTTAAACCTAAACTTCTCCAAAAAAGCTATATTGAGCTCGATACCAATTTCCGTAAATATACTGGAGCCATTATAGCGTTAGCTTCAACTCTACACAGATCCAGAGACATGAGAAATTTGTTTGTAGAATTTTCACAAATTTTGGAATTATTTAAGACTGGTAATTGGACCAATCACGATTTGCAACAATTTTTAAATGCTTATACTGGGTGCGCTTGTGAGTTGGATGTTATCAGAACTGATCTCGGACTTAAATCTTGCTGGGAAAAGTTCATGGCGGTTGTTGAAGTTTGCATGGTAGTTATGAATTCTCCCACATAAATTAATTTGTTTTAAAATATCTTTTTGGCAATGTACCTATATTTAAATAATAGTTTATTTATTTTCATTTTGTATTATTGTATTATTAAATTAAATCAAAGTACCTAGTCTAGCCACTGAAATATGAGCAAATAAATAAATAAATACATTTTTCAAGTTTGGTAACTCGGTAGGAGGGTTACTGTGTGACGTCATTTGAGAGACATTAGTGATGTTCCGTTCCAGTTCCAGACTCGTCAAATCGATACAACAAAAAAAGTAACGTCACGAAATACTTGAGAACTGAGAAAATTGTAGCAAAAATTCAAAATTTGATTACTTTTTAAGTAATTTTGCAGCAAATTAGTAAAAAGTTTTATACTTCGTGACGTCAAAAATTGCTCTGTTTAAGTACTTGGCTATCCTTGTCCCTGTAATATCCTTGTCGAAATCCTCCAACTCTAGTTAATTTTTAGAATTGGCTTTGTGTTTCTAGTAGGAAAAAAGAAAATAAATCAATTTATCAGCATTTAAATTACTGAACGCAGCAACTAATTATTCCAACGGAATGTAATTGAGTTAAATTGAGAGGCGCTTGATTCGTTTTTGAATCAGAATCAGCGATTCTCTGGTGCGGTTTTAACCTCTAAAAGTTATTGAGTGAGAAAAATTGAGGAAGTTTTATTTTTAGTTTTGTGATTTTTGAAGCCTGGCACGTGAATTGATGACGGTGAAATTGAGAGAAACGATGGCCAAAGAGGAAGAATACGATAAGCTGCCTGATAAAGATGCTGCCAAAGAGTTTTACGCTAAGTACGAGCCAAAGGAGATACTTGGAAGGTGGGTCTAATGTATTTTACTTTGTTTGTTTATCTTTGTATATTATACCTTTGTTAGCGCAATTCGATTTTTTCTAATGTTGCATCAACAAGTCATGCTCTATTATCATAACAATTAATCAATAGTTGTTAACAATGCATTCCTCCTATAAACTATAAATTAAAATTAATTCCTCGATTAATTCACTGTTATAACACAAGTTATAATATACAGAGTGACAAAAAAAATTAATGAGAACAGAACATTGAAATAAAATAAAAATGCCATAAAAATACTTGACAAAATCAACAACTGCAAACTCGCTACAAACAATCATCATAATATACTCCTCCAGGCTGTAATAAGACCTTGCCATATACAGAGAGATATAGATTGGCTATAAGGTAGCTGTAAAAATAACAGTCAGTCGATTTCATTCTGATACTCCAAAGGAATGTGAGCTGGTGGCTCCTTATGTTAGAGAACGCCAATGGTCACCTGACATCACACCTGTTTTCGACATATGCTTTACCCCCTCGCTCCTCATACAGAAAGTGTCAGATTAAAAACGATGGACAATACATTGTAGGCCTGATTAACTATACTTCAATAGGCCATTCTCATTCACATTTGTCCAAAACATATTTAAATTATTGTGTTATACATTCTAATAATATCTGCATCGAGGGGTTTTTCACCTAACAAAATTTGTACACCGATTTAAAGTACCGAGATATTTCCATGTATTAGTTTAAACTTTAATTCGATCATGTACAATACAGTGGATATGCCCTTTTGAGGCTGTTGATCCCGTCAATTATTACAATAGAATAGTAACTTACAAGTGAAAGCGAATAATTATAAAACTTAAAAACTATACAATAACACTAAAATCAATACACCTACAATTACATAGAAATCTTATTTAAAAAAGTACGAAAAAAAAAAAAACAAATGAGAGAACAGCAATAACATTTATACAATACACAAAATTTGAAATATATACCTTTGGTTCGTCCTTTGTGATTTTTAAATAATTTCTTTTACACTCTGATCCACAAAGAAATCGTCTACACTATAATATGATTTTGATGCAAGGAATGATTTTATTTTAGTTTTTATATTTTTTGAAGTTGTTTGTCTTAGATTTATTGGCAAATGATTCCAGACCTTCAGAATGCTGTGCTTAACATTTTTCTGGATATAATTGTATTTTGCAACTTCAGTCTTAAGATTGCTTTTCTGTCTAGTATCATGTGAGTGTTAAGCCTCTAAATTTTCGAAAAGAGAGAAATTGTCAAGAATGAAGCAAACAGATTCCAGTATGTGAACATTGTATACAGTATAAATCCCATGCTGCACAAAGGGTTCCCGACAACTATCTCTGTTATTAAATGCACACAATGATCAGATGCATCTTTTCTGTAGCTTTAATATCCTTCTGATTCGGGAAAATTTGCCCAAAAAATAACACCATACCATACCGCACTCGAGACTGAACAAATGAATGAAACGCAGTTAAAGCTGCCCCAAAACCGACCGTCTCTCTAATATTCCTTATGGTATAACAGAATTGACTCAGTCGTGTAGCCAGTTGTGATGTATGAGGCTTCCAGTCTAGTTGCTGATCCAGGACGATTCCCAAGAAGGAGACATGCTTTTCAGATTCTATATTGACGTTTTTATGGTTTATCGAAATACTATTCGGCTGATGTTTTTTAAAGTTTATGATCTGCGTTTTCTCAACATTTAGCATGAAGTTGTGACTTTTAAACCAGTCCTCAGCAGAATCAAAGCAGTCCTTTACTGATTTTATGCAATGGTCAACATCCATCTCAAATCAAATCAAATCAAAATAAGCTTTATTGTCCAAAAAATACCATTGTTTTTCATTGACAAAGCAAAATTCTTATTACTAATTAATTCTAAGTAAATTAAGTCAAATTTTTACCACAATTATGAACCTTAAAAAAGACAAAAATCACAAATCAAATCACTAGTTCAAACTATAAACTTATGGTGCAAATTAGGTTAATAAACATAAATAAGAACTTTACGAGAAAAAAAAAAAAAAAACAGAATAAATATAAATAAATAAATAAAATTTAACTTTTTAGTCGTCAGTATAAAAATAAAATAAAAAACAAACTATATAAAAAACAAACAACAAAGAGAAAAACATCTATGTGGTAAAAGTAAAAAACAAACTATATTTCCAAAAACTTTTTGAAAATTCAAATTTTTTTTGACTGTTTTGTGAAGGGAAGGCCAAGACGCACTCAGCGCATTGTATTCTATAACTCAACATGTACCAAAACCCATAAAAATTATACCCTATTTTCCAATTCGATCCTCTACCTAACACACCTGATCATAAAATTCCTTAAGACTATAAAAAGCTTTAGTGACTAGATGTTGCCTGACTAATGAGCGAAATATATCGTATCTGTTACAGTTCTTTATTTGTTGAGGTAGATGATTAAACATTTTTATACTTTCGTATATAACTGAATTTTTTGTAAGAGTAAATCTAGGTTGAACACCAAGCTTTCAGCACACTGTTGCACTTTGCCGTAGTTAACTGGACACCCTTGATTCACATCTGGACAGATTGTTAAGAAATAGTGATTTATATCATTTAGTAAATGTTCTTCATTTAGACAAGACATGTTCTCAAATAATACATATTTATCTTGTTACTCTGTTTTTGTTGTTTTTTTAATTACTGCTTTGTCACTTTTTTTGAAACTTGAAGACTATTTATTGTAGAAACTTCACTTCTACTCACTTGTCCTGATGTGACCTTTTTCAAAAGAATCCTTTTGTTTTGAGAAGATATTTCAATGCCAGGCGTTATCCAGTTAGAAGTTTTGTTTTGTTTTTCATTTCTGGTTTTTGATGGAAAGATTAGGTTTAGTTTTTCTTTGGGTATGAACTCAAAGTTTGCATAGCCTTCGTTTAAGTCATTTGCTCTAAAAACGCCCTGCGAAGCACAATCCTGAATTTCTTGACGATAGTCAGTGAGCTTCTTATCTGAAAATATGCGAGTTGTTACTTTTTGGTTTTTCCTCGGACTCAGAAACTCATTCAGAAGCTGGGGAACTGATAGTATTTGAGCATACCTAATGATCACTTAGAGCAACCTTTTAAACTCTGTTATTCAAAAAGTCTGAAAAGTTAACGAAAAAGTTATCTATACAAGATATTTTATTTTTGTTTGGTCTTGTTATGTCAAATATAATTTGTTGAAAATTAAAAGAATTTAAGAGATCTAATAGTCTATCCCTTGTGTCAGCCTCACTATTTTGCTCAAAAGTGCTCAATTTATATTGAATTCTCCCCCCCCCCCCCCCCCAGATAATCCTATAGTTTTTAAAGTTTGAACAAATCCTTTTAATAGTTATTTACCTAACAAATGCGGAAAGTGATACTTTACCGCACGCAACGGCAGTTGACAGAACGACGCAAAGCGGAGTTCGGTCAAGCCGTTAAGGGCGGTAAAGGCACTTTCCGCATGTGTTAGGTACAAAATTTTACCTATGAGCATCTACACCTCCAAAAAAAGCATTGATAAAATTAATTAATGAATCAGATTAATTAATGGAATAAGATTAAATTTAGAAAGGATCAAAAATCCATTTTCTGAAAAATAAAGGAATTTTGATTATAAATATCAAGTTCTACTTTACCGCACACTATGCGGTAAAGTGGACTACAAAGTGTTTGGTAAAGTGCAGTTTACCGCATACTATGCTGTAAAGTTAACTTTACCGCACACTATGCTGTAAAGTTAACTTTAACGCATAGTGTGCGGTAAAGTGATACTTTCCATTTTCAAAAACGTGCGGTAAAGTGTACTTTACCGCATGCTCGTAGGTAAATAAGGTTTCCAGAACTAGGAAGAACAACTGAAGGTCTCCCAAACATCAGGATCGGTAAAGACATATCACGATTTGTTTCCTCATTTTACTAATGACTGCTGATGCCTCAATATGTCCTTCTATGCAATAGTTCTTAATGTCTGAAAGCTTGAAGCTCTTCAAAATCCTCGATGATTTTATGGATTAGGATGCACGTACATACCTCCCCGTTTTTTAATTGATCTTGCAAAACAAGCTTTTAGAGAGTATTCACTAAGAGTAATATGTACCTAATAACAAGTTATTGCCAACTATTTTCATGTATTAACAAAATATTTCCACATATTGCCAGGTATTTCTCTAGTATTATCACATATTTCCAGGTATTGCCATGCTATTGACAGACTAAAAATCAAATATTTGTTACGCCAGAATTCTAGGTATTGACATATCCACAGGTATTTACATGTTATTATTGGGTATCAACATCAACCAATGACATTTATTTATTTACATACATTAACATATATTGCCTAGATATCTACAAGTATTGACATTTATTACCTACATAATCAACAAGTGGGTATTGCATAGTATTTACCTGGTATTGACATATAATAACCAGTGACTTGTACACCGATTAACAAGGTGAAAAACGCCTCGATCTGCATACCTACTTTTGTTAAAAAAAAACGCGAATTTTTAACCTGCTGCAAAAACGCGAACTAGAACTATGACGGCATAGTCAGTCCCAAAAACGAAAGGATGCCGAATTTTTCATACTTATTAAATTTCAAGGGGTAAACCACCATCCCAAAAAAAATTAACTCACTAGCACAGCCTGAATCGCAAGCATTCCATCGAAATCTGCGGGTGACGTCATCACTATAAGCTGCTGGTAGTGACATCACGCGCATACCCAGAATTGGATGGTGAGGGAATTAGGGGAGTATGATGCAATTGACAAATCACAACCCAGCAGAATCAGATTATGCTAGATTATCCTCGCGAAAAATTGCCTTATTTGATTTCTTGGAACATAATTCAAATTTAATTTCTTTCAAAAACTAATCTGTCTACTAAAGATTTGCATTATTGCGTTTTGTCAGTATTTTGTGCATTTGTGGGAATTTTTTTTCAAAAAGCGAATTTTTGGACTCCCTTGTGGGAAATTTGATTTTCGAAAGTTGGCAACACTGAACATGAGGAATCTTGGAAATCAACCTACAATAACTGAATTGAAAATACAGTCTCACACATTTCAAAGTTTTCCTGTAAAACTAGTGAAGGGAAAATTTTGAAACTTTTTGCATGTAAAGAGGAAGGTGAAAAGCTCATGTTCCCAAAATTTTAAATTTTTACAGTAGAAAATAACAACATGAATAATCTTGGAGATCAACCTACAATAACTGAATTAATTAAAAATACTGTCTCACACAATTCCAAGTTTTCTTAAAAACTAGTGAAGGGAAAATTTTGAAACTTCTCGCATGTAAAGAGAAAAGGGATAAGCTCATTTTCCCAAAATTTCAAATTTTTCCAATGGAAAATAACATGGAAATCAACTTACAAAAACTGTAATAATTGTTAATACAGTCTCACACAATTCAAAGTTTTCCTGGAAAACTAATTAAGGGAAAATTTTGAAACATTTTACATGTGAAGAGGAATGTCAGAGACTGATTTTCCCAAAATTTCAAATTTTTTCAGTGGAAAATAACAACATGAAGAATCTTGGAAATCAACCAACAAAAACTGAATTAGTTGAAAATACAGTCTCACACATTTGAAAGTTTTCCTGGAAAACTAGTGAAGGGAAAATTTTGAAACTTTTTGCATGTAAAGAGGAAGGTGAGAAGCTCATGTTCCCAAAATTTTAAATTTTTCCCTCGATTTTTCCAGTGGAAAATAACAACATGAAGAATCTTGGAAATCAACCTACAATAACTGAATTAATTAAACATACTCCATCCAGCCCTACTGTCTCACACTATTCAAAGTTTTCTTAGAAAACTAGTGAATGGAAAATTTTGGAACTTTTTCATGTAAAGAGGAAGGGGAGAAGCTCATTTTCCCAAAATTTCAAATTTTTCTAGTGGAAAATAACAACATGAAAAATCTTGGAAATCAACTTACAAAAACTGAAATAATTGTTAATAATACAGTCTCACACAATTCAAAGTTTTCCTGGAAAACTAATTACGGGAAAATTTTGAAACTTTTTACATGTGAAGAGGAAGGTCAGAGGCTCATTTTCCCAAAATTTCAAATTTTTCCAGTGGAAAATAACCTGAAGAATCTTGGAAATTAACCTCCAATAACTGAATTAATTGAAAATACAGTCTCACACATTTCAAAGTTTTCCTGAAAAACTAGTGAACAAAAATTTGATACTTTTTGTATGTAAAGAGGAAGGTTAGAGGCTCGGTTAGAGGCTCATTTTTCCATAATTACAATTTTTTCCCAACATGAAAAATCTTAAAAAGTAGTGAACGGAAAAATTTGAAGCTTTTTATGTGAAGAGGAAGGTTAGAAACTCATTTTCGCAAAATTTCAAATTTTTCCAGTGGAAAATAACAACATGAAGAATCTTGGAAATCAGTCTACAAAAACTGTACTCATTATTGTTTTGAATTTTTTAAATTTGGACCTGTAAACGAGCCTGTAAATCATGAAGTGAAATTTTGGGAGTATTTCTTTAATGAAAATGAATGTCCAGCGTTCAACACAAAACTAGACTTTTTTTTTAATTTCCATTTATTAGTGTTTTTTATAAGAATGTGAACGTCAGTGACCTCAAATTCCTCACAAATTCCCCAAGTTCTCATAAATTCCGATGAGTTCCTTCAAATTCCCCACAAATTCCTCTAAATTCCCCACATTTTTGGCAAAGAATTCCTAGGTGGTTTGCCCTTTGTTAAATTAATTGAGTAAATAAATCCAAAACATGACTGCGTCAAATTAATGTATTGTTCTAGTAAATGCGCTCAAGTTATCTTTTAATTAGTTAGATGGTAAATGGCGAGCAGTTTTATTGATGGTGTTTTATTTCCTTGGGCAGCTACTAATAAAATTGGGGAGGGGGTCTATTCGCAAATGAGAGAAACAACTGTAGTAAGTAAGGTTTATACTTTATTTTACTTAAATAATCAAATCCCAATTTGCTAGCACAAATTAATAAAACTAATATTTGGTTTTCATATTGTTCAATTTTTTCATAACCTGTTTCACATTTTACTTCGATATTCTTGGTATACGCTTAACGAGTGATTTAGCTGCTAACTCTTTTTCTGCTTTGATTGCTGAAGTTTTCCGTTTGTCAAAAGTATTTCACAATCTTCTAACAAAATAACAAAGGCCATCTGAAAATCTATGTCTTCTACATTTTCAGCAGTTGGTACAACACTTCCTAGTAGTATTTACTACTAGTTTATACTTCTTACCTAAGTTAACACTTCCCATAAAATAATTTACTTCATGTAAAAGAATATACTCCACAAGTTACTAGGAAGTAAAAGCTCATACTTGAAGTACGAGCAAATACTCTTTTTAATCATACCGCCCAATATCTATCTTCGTCTAGCTCATGTATATTTTGTAAATTCTCTAATGTGTATTAGTATTAGTTGCTATCAAACATCAAATTTAACTTTCTTATTGGGGTTTAACATCAAGATATTTATAAATTATCGAGAGTTTATACAAAAAATTTAAAATTTAATTACTTACAATAAGTAATAAAGGCCATTTAACATTTAGTATTATGCATTTGAATGATGTTTTAATCCTTGAATTAATTTGACCTCCAAGTTTTGATTTTACATTCAATTGATAGACATAACAAGAGGTTCTTTGCGTTTGTTCGACTTTTATTAAGTAATGCTACTTTTTCAGAGGTATTTCCTCAACAGTACGACGATGCATAGAAAAAGAAACCGGCAAGGATTATGCAGCAAAAATTATTGACCTCAGCAACGACGATTCTTCAGTAGAAGCAACTAGACAAGAAATAAGCATTCTACGAATGGTGGCTGGCTATCCTTACATCAGTAAGTAATGTTAGTGCAAACCATATGTAAAAGTTTACACGCTTAAATATTATTTTATTGTCTTTAGTTGAACTCCAAGATGTATTTGAATCCAATACGTTTATGTTTTTGGTGTTTGAATTGTGCAAACACGGAGAACTATTTGACTATTTGACGTCTGTAGTGACCCTCAGCGAAAAAAAGACCAGATACATTATGAGGCAAATATTTGAGGGCGTAGCTCATATTCATTCTAAAGGAGTGGTCCATAGGCAAGTGATTTCGTTAGTTGAAAAAATCGTAAATGAAAAGCTTTTGTTGTAGAGATTTGAAACCGGAAAATATACTTTTAGATGACAATTTAAATGTTAAAATAACAGATTTTGGGTTTGCGAAAAAATTAGAACCTGGAGAACTGTTGCACGGTTTGTTAAACCTGTTTTTTGATATTATTTTAATGTTAATTAATTTAATTATTTTTATAGATTTATGTGGAACCCCAGGATACTTAGCTCCAGAAACTCTAAAAACTAACATGATGGATGACGCTCCAGGTTACTCAAAAGAAGTAGATATGTAGGTACAAAAAGATGTCTATTTTTTGTAATTTTGACGTATGTATTCATTTGTATTTTTAGATGGGCCTGTGGAGTTATCATGTATACATTGTAAGTAACAACCAATCGATCTTGGTGTCTGACTAATCTGACACAGCATAGAACTAATGAAATTTTTAATTGTTCACAGGTTGGTTGGTTGCCCGCCGTTCTGGCACCGAAAACAAATGGTGATGCTCAGAAGTATTATGGAAGGAAAATATTCATTCAGCTCACCTGAATGGGCAGACATATCAGGTTAGATCACGATTTTTCAATTTTTTTCAAATGCCTTAATCAATTACCTTTTAAAAATCTTCATTTTACTTGTTACAATTTGAAATGTACATACAAAAAAACTAAAGAGGGATTTTTTGCTCCAGAATCACCTAAAGACCTTATTCGAAAACTATTAGTAGTAGATCCAAAGCAACGGATAACTATTGAGGAAGCTTTGACACATGAATTTTTCCAATCTGTGGTAAGTGAATTTTACATAATAAATGCATATTTATTTTGCACAAAATTCAAATTTTTATTTTAAAACTTATTCAAATTTAGAAACTAGAAACGATTTGTCTGGACTCTAAAAGTAACTCTGTCATAGTAAGTGATCTGTAAATAAAAATATGGTGGTTTATTGGGCTTTAAAAAAATATGTTGCTGCAAATCTCAAATTGTTACTAATTTTCTTATTTCTTCATGCTTATTGTTGTTAATTTGTTTTTAATGTAGCAACTCTGGGATCAAGACATTGTCACTCTGAAAAAGACATTTAGAAGGAATTCACGTAGGATGACTATCATTTCAGAATTAGCTTTGGTAAACTAAATATATTTTTTTTTGTTGTTTTAATTTTTGAAACGTTTGTTTTTTCAATACTAATTATGTATGTATAACAAGTCCGAAATGAGCGTATTACTCACTTTCCATATTTTTCTCATCCTTAATTTTTCACATACCGTTTTACTTTGAAAAGTGTGAAAACTAATAGTTATTGACAACCTTAAGCTATATGTTTACTGCTACCTCTTTTTCCAGCGTTCCACAATAAAGCTAAAAGTTCCTTGCCAATTAATGATTTTTCAAGCTTAATGTTTTTGTATTTGCTTTATATGTGTGCTCCTTTTTTACTTACATTTCTCCTAAATTACGATTCTGTTTTTAGAAACTCCAAACAAGTCGTTTCGATGCCCGTCGTAAATTCAAAATGGCTATCCTGTTTGTCCGAGCAATGGTAAGAATCCAGAGGCTACGTTTCACTCCTGAACCTCTATCCCTAGAAGCTGCTAGATGTGATCCTTATAGGATTAAGATACTTAGAAAAGTAAGTTTTTTTTTTTGTAAATTAATTGTTGTCTTATGTTGCATTTTATTTTCAGATTGTTGACGGCTGTGCGTTTCGGGTTTATGGTCATTGGGTAAAGAAAGGCGAAGGCCAAAATAGGGCCGCCTTATTTGAAAATACTCCAAAGACAGATCTGAAACATATATACCTATCAAATCTTAGTCGATAATTTAATTATTAATTATTGTTTTTAGTAGGAAATTTTAAATTATTTTAAAAAAATCAGAAAAATTTGATTCAGGAATCAATATTTATGATTAAAAAATATAATTTTTATGTTTTTGAGATAGTTTTAATTGAAATTAATAATATTTATTTTCCTTGCACGAATAAGAATTGATCCAGTTCCTATTATTTTAAAAACTCACTTCATTAGGGCACTTTTATGTTGAAATTAATAAAAATCAGCTAAATCATGTCTTTGTTTAGTTAATGGATAAAATAATACCAAAATTATTGTTTTGTGATATATGTAACAAGTGTTTATGTTGTAACATATTTATAATAATACATACATAGGTAATTTAAACCCTTGTTTTGGATTGGTGGTTGGTGTGCATGTGGTGGGTGTTAAAACTTTTGTCAAGTTGTCACATTATTTCTGTTTGATTATCAGGATATTACTAATAGGTCGCCATACACACACGTTATTTCGCGCGGTTTATCGTGGCGTGTTGGGATGTAGCGGTTTGCACGCGCGAAAGAACGGCGTGGCAAAAAAAGCGTCATGTTCCATACACTTGACAAAGTATTCAAATGATTTAGCACGTGATTACGCGCGGCATATCAGTTGGGAAGGAAAAACCGTATGTGTATGGGTAAAAAGTGTCATTTATCGTGTCGTTTGGAAGTGCATGTTGTCATATACTAATTTTCAACATGATAGTTCGCTACGCGGCGTTTATGTCTCCGTACTAGCCTCAAAACCGTGACGTGGAATGGCGTGTGGACACGGTTGTGAACTGCACTATCATGTGAGACGTCACATTCCTGATGAAAGCACGTCTGAAATCCCTTCCCATTCTATCATTGCGTGTAGCCCTCCTCACTCACGCACATGATTTTTCACAGGTTTTTGCAAATGACACGATAAACCGCGCGAAAGAACGTGTGTCTATGCCGGCCTAATGAAAGACTTACGGATGAAATATATAATCGTATCGAAAGTTTCCGAACTGACGTTTGTCACCCGCACCTCCAGGGTTACCACGTTTAGCTCTCAAATATGTTATTTAAAGGGAATAAAATCTGTTTTTTTTTTTTAAAGATAAAAGTCAAAATGACATTATGTTGGCAATACAATGTAAAATTGTCAATCTTTCAATTTTTTTATGTAGAAAAGGCTTGTATTGCCAACATAGTTACTAAATTTTTGACTTGGGAAATTATCTTTAAAAAAAAAAACAGACTTTACATTCTTAAATATGAATACCTAACAATAAAGTACCTAATAGAACAATTTCTAATTTTGTAGTCGGTTTTGCTCAATATATTTCTTAATCGATATCCTGCACGCACATCCGTTTTCTTGGCAATTCAGACACTGGGAGTTCAATAGAAGAAACACCATGTAGAACGCAGAAGATCCCATTCCCCACTAGAGCAATAATTTGCACATTTATTTTATACTACAAGTGCCTAAATTATTTCTGGAAAAAATTCACGAATATTTTGAAGATTATCTTGAGGATTACTTAGGTCTATATTATAAGTGTATATGAATGTGAAAGAAATATGACGGTCAAACATTTCGGCTTTAAATCTTGCATTGACTGATAATGTAGGGAGTTTTGGCGGTTCCAAAAATTTTATATTTAGGCCTAAATATTTCACACATTTTGTATTTACAGCCAATAATTATAATTAGGCCTCTATAGGTGTGAATCAAAGTATAAAAGATCACCCTGCCCTGTACAAAACTAATTAATTTGAAGAAAAAAAAAACGTAATGTTCCACTATCTGATACAATTATTATTATTAGTAAAATAATAATAATCTTCACTATTAGCAGTTTGGCTACTATTAGTAACAAAAGTAATAATTATTATTATAATATGCTCGTTATCAAGGGCCTTCCTATTTCTAATAAAAGCCTAACATTAGCAGTATTGAAAAATAATAACCTGCAACTTGCAGTAAATTAAATCATAATAATGTTCAACATTTTTGGATTGACTTTTCTCGCAATTTTACATATACAAAGTAAGTATAATTTGTTCAAAATTATTCTAAATTTATTATTACCTATCAAAACTTTCTACTTTCAGATGTGTTAACAGAAAGCGAACCTCCACCAACAGCAAAATGTTATTCCTGCCAACCGGAAAATATTCGAGAATGTAATCGTAACAAGGTAATTGTACGAATGTCCAGAAATCCTGAAAAATTTAACAGGCAAGATTTCTGGAGGCTGCGTATCTGAAGTAATACGCTAGATGAAGAAAGTACGAATAATTTCTATCATTTATATTAAAAAATGTCTCTACTGACATGTTTTTAGAAAAATCATCGACTCATGTGCATGCTTGCAAGGGCCGTGCAACTATTGGAACGCAATTCAGATATGGTCCTAGAGGATGTAGACAATTCATAGACTTATATAGTAACGACTTGAGTAGGATTTTATCTTGCTCCAGTTGTTCAGATAATGTTTATTGTAATTATGCCATGTATTATTAATAAATAATTATTATATCTATTGATGATGCCCTAGTAAATATATTTAACTTGTATTTGGGAAATAATAGAATTTTATTTGTTCCTGAAAAATTCACATTCATATTGTGAGACCCCAAATTCAGAAACTTGGCAAGATGTTAAATTGGCGAGCGGTGACTTTAGTTTCTGAGTGCAGACACAGTTTAAAATGGGTCCTATTTGCGGGTGGAGAGTAAAACACAGAAATATTGTGGTCAATTAAAATAAAGTTTATTTTATTAAAATAAATAATGCTTGTTATTAAATAACAGGCGTCGGTAATAAATAATCTTACAATAAAATTGTTAGATTTCTAATAATCATCAATTAACTGTTAAGGAAAATTTATATGATTCCAAGTAAAAATTTTTATTACTCTTGCCTTCACAATTTCTGGCTGCACATAAAAAATCTCTACTTACAGTCACCAATAATATATTTACTGCTGGCCACTCCTAATTACATGGAAATCTTATTGGTCGAAGGAATTTACTTTAATTATGAACACATAAAAAACTCGAATATTTTCGCGCTGTTATTTCACGTCGTGCTTCTTCTCTCGGTTAATTCGACAACTCTTTCACGCCGTAGTTCTGACTTTCTGGACACAGGTCTCTCGATTACTACTTGTTTCTTGATTACTCAACCGACACTGGTCCTTTACGCCGTAGTTCTGCCGGTTTACCCGCTCTTTCTCGAACACTCATCTTTTCTGAAACACTGATTTTCTCCTGGCAAAGTTGCCTTCTTATATCATTGGTCCCTCCATTGTCTTGAATTTCTTTATTGTTTCTGACCTCGATTTTTCGTGGTTGAATCATTCGATCAATTAGTGTATTTGGTCCCCTTTTAATTAATTATCAAGGGCGTCGTTAAGTGGTTTGTTAAGTGGGTATCATCATATAGGCTCGTGCATGATTTATTGATCCTTTTGGAAATTTTTCGGCTCTTTTGGAATGTTAATTGTAGAGTGTAATTTCTAAAGGGTCTAAGTGCCAAAATTTTTATAATTGTTGAAACCTCTAAAAAAAAGGTCCATAAACTTTTGCTTTAGTCACACTCCAATGTAATCGGCTTTCAATAACTTCTGGATATCGATGTTCAGATAATTTTTAATTGACGTTTCTGGTTGTGCTGTCTAAGTGATGATCTCTCCTGGTATGGTTGTTTGATAAGTCCTTGTTGTTCTTGATTAAAATTTCTGTAGTCACTACACCATCAACAATCGTAAAAGTTGAAAATGGAATGATTCCTTTGGAAGTCCATAATTTGACAGATCATTCTATAGTGATTAATTATCATATTGATGATCTAGAAGACTCGTCAGCCCTTCCTTATAATGACGATAATTTTGAAATATTTAATTTAGAGCAAAAGTTGTTATACACGCTTTTCCAAAAATCTTTTATCAACCTCATGATAAATTGACATTTACAAATCAAGTGAAACATCAGATTAAGACCAAAGATGAAATTCCAATTCATTCAAAAACATATAGATACTCCTATATTCATAAAATTGAAGTTAATAAACAAATCAAAAAAATGTTAGAGGATGATATAATTAAACCATCATACAGTCCTTGGTCATCCTCAGTTTGGATAGTACCGAAAAAGAAAGATTCCTCCAGTATTCAAAAATGGAGAATGGTGGTAGATTATAGAAAACTTAATGAAAAGACAATTGATGATAGGTATCTTTCACCAAACATCACAGATATACTAGACAAATTAGGTCGCAGTAATTACTTTACAATCTTAGACCTGGCTTCAGGATTTCATCAAGTAGAAATGCATCCTGATTCTATATCAAAAACGGCTTTTAATGTTGAAAATGGTCGTTTTGAATTTCGACGAATGCCATTTGGTTTGAAAAACGCACCAGCAACATTTCAAAGAGCAATGGACAATGTATTATTTGGATTACAAAATAAAATATGCTTGGTATATATGGATGACATAATTATATTTTCAGCATCTCTACACGAACACATTAAAAACTAAAGAAAGTTTTTGAAAGATTGGATCAATATAATTTAAAAATTCAATTAGATAAATCGGAATTTTTACGAAAAACTGTAGAATTTCTAGGACATGTTATAACACCTAAAGGTGTAAAACCAAATCCAAATAAAATATCAGCAATTAAAAATTTTCCTATACCTAAAACTGCAAAGGAAATAAAATCATTTTTAGGATTGGAAGGGTACCACCGTAAATTTATAAAGAATTTTGACAAGTTAACAAAACCTCTGACGAATTGCTTGAAAAAAAGACAGAAAAAAAATACATGACACAGAATTTATGAAGAGTTTTGAAACTTGTAAAAATGTGTTAATGAATGATCCAATACTACAGCATCCTGACTTCAACAAACATTTTGTGTTGACGACGGACGCATCCAGTTACGCGATAGGAGCAGTATTATCGCAAGGACCTATTGCTTCCGACCTGCCAATTGCTTATGCAAGTAGAACATTGAACCCAGCAGAGTGTAATTACTCTACAATTGAAAAAGAACTACATATTAGCAATAGTTTGGGCTACTAAATACTTTAGAGCCTATCTTTTCGGAAGAAAATTTGCCATCTTATCAGAATATCAGACCATAAACCGTTACAATGGTTATTTAACGTAAAAGAACCGAGTTCCGTTGGCGATTGAAACTATCAGAATATGACTATGAGATTAAATACAAAAAAGGAACTTTGAATATGAACGCAGATGCGCTATCAAGAAATCCTCCAATGCAAGTAAATGCTATTGATAGATCATATCCTGATGCAAGATTAACAAAATCAGATGAAGAATTTCAGAGAAAATTAGGAGAAATGTTAAAAGATAGGTACGCCCCTAGATAATGAAGAAATCATTTAAAAAATAACAATAAATGAGACAATATGGTCAGATAATTTTGAAATTTTGTTCCAAACAAATATTGAAACTAATCTTATACAGATTAAAACAATGAAAAACACTATCAAAATTCTCAATGATGGAAAAAGAAATAAAAGAGGTTTATTAAATTTCATGGGTACAGCGCAAAAATGGCTTTACGGTAGGTACTTTAGATGCTGAAGTTGGTGCTAGATATGATTCTTATATCAAAACACTTGATGAAAATCAAGAAATTCTTGATAAAAATTTGAAAAATCAAGCTCAAGTGGTGCTAAAGCAAGTTAGGTACTAAGATTTTTCATGATCAATTTTTGAATGTTCAATCCAACCAAAATATTATAATAAATAAACTCAAAAACATTTCAATGGAAAATCAAAATTTGCATGAAATGTTAAATTTAAATCTTATTTTAATTAACATTAACATGCAAAACAACAAAATAAAAGACCTAGATCATATTCAATTAGCAATTAATTTCGCACAATTAGGTGTAATGCATTATACAATTCTGCAACATAATGAATTGAATCACATTCTAACAAAAATACCTAAGTCTCAGCAAATACCCTTTGATAATATTATTAAATATTATGAGACAATGTCAAATCAGGTGAAACTCCAAAAAGAATTGATTATTTTTGTTATTTACACACCAATAATTGAACCAAGGCCTTTTTTTATTGTATAAGGTATATCCAATACCGATCCAAGATCTTACCATAAAATCCGTATACCCTTACTTACTACTATCTACGGAAGATTGTTACAATGCTTTATGGGAATGCCCTAAAGTTGGAAATACTTACCTATGTAATCAGGACCATCTGAAACGAGATAACTCATGCATCTATGATACACTCATAAATGGACCACAGAAATGTCCATTTCTGAAAATATACTATCTGCAAGGTTAAAATACAATACCAAACATTCCAAAATTAATCGAAAACTTCAACTTTGAACTAAAACTTCCAAATATTGAGATCTCTTCTCTAACATTACAACCTTGGAATTGAAGAATATGGATCACGAAGCCTTCAAAAAAACTGAAAAATTAAGAATGATACCTCCATGGAAGTTTTCATTTAATCAAAGTTATTTATCTAATTATATATTGATAGGATTTTTCATAATTATAATAGTTTTACTAATACTTTTATATTTTTGTAAAAAGATCAAACAACAAAGAGATACAAATGTTCAAATTGAATTGTCTGATCTTAGTACGCTATAACAACCCCAATTTGCAATATCCCAAGGAGGGAGGAATTATATTGTCAAACTCCTAGTAATCTTAATCAGCTCATTTGTTTATTTAAACTTAAAATGTAAACGCATAATGGGAAATCCCTTCCTTGCAGGTATTGTTTATCCAGAAAATGCATAGTAAACACTATTTTTATATAAAAGAACGCTGCAACGCCAGTAATTAGCTTTTGTTTTCGAGATTTACTTGTAGCAATTTGAAGCTGTTGATAAGGTAAACCACAACATCCTTCTTTCAAAGCTCTCAACTTATGGTGTATCTAGACATTGCTTCCATGGATGAAATCTTACCTTATTACCAGCACAATGCAACAATTCAAGATCGATGGCTATCTTTCTTCTTTTTTCCATGCATGCTCTGGGGTTCGCCATGGCTCTCACTTGGGTCCCCTTCTATTCAGCTTATTTATCAATGATTTAGGACCGTTGCTCTCCTCCAATTTTTTACCCTTCGCTGATGACTTGAAGTTGTATTGTCGGGTGATGTCAGCTCAAGACAAACATCTTAACATTGTTTATGATTGGTGTCAGCTCAATGATATGTTCCTCAACATTGATAAGCAGTGATTGATAAGTGTTGTTGTAAGAGAGTTACTAGAGACTTTACAAGTAGATATACTTAGGCCTCATCATTCGCAGAACTGAATACTTTGCTGTCTGTTTTGCTTTTAATATACTTAATTACTACATAAAAAGCCACGAATGTCTTGGATGTTTTTATCTACTCATTCAAAGTGAACGGACAAGAAGTAAATCTTTACTGCACATACATTAAATTATCATCTTTCTGCTTCTTATTGTAGACCTAAAACTTGACCAGCCACATTTTTTTATTTCAAATCATTCCCCCAACTGAACTAGCGATTCCATCATTTAAAATGTCTATTTGGAAGGCTGGAAATACCAGGATTTTTTAATGGGTGAAACAAAGTCTAATAAGGATAATAAATTATGCCTAAACCAGTAGGTATTAAGCTACTTGTGGGGATTTTGTAAAGAAATTTTTCATTTACATTACCTTTCTGAAATTATGACAACTTATACTTTGTAGAGCTTATCTTTGCTTCCACTAATTAATAACTACCTACATATTATATTTTTTACTATCTCTAATGTATTTTGGATCTAATTATATTCTTTATCCGAAATAGGTTGTTATAAAAGCATGAAAGTAATTAGAGGCCAAATATTCTATATTTTGTAGCCAAAAGCATTAAAAATGTTTTCTAAATTAACTTTTTTTGCGTTTTTCTGCATAATTATTTTAAAAGGTAAGTATTAACAAAATTTGTTCAACTACATTTAGAATCTTAAACTTTCCAGATGTATCATCTTATTCAAATTTAGCTTGTCAGCGGTGCAACTCAGCAAATAAAGCAGACTGTGATTTTACTAGTCGTCCCAGCAAACTAACCCTATGTCATACGGAGTATGATAAATGCTATTGCATAAGTGTAGCTTCCCTAGATGATAGTGAGTAGGTTCAGTTGAACTTTTGGACTAAATTTGTCCTTTGCAACAGCTATTCTGTGATGAATTTGAAGTAATACACATTGAATGATCTAATTGCTTACGTTGGATATAAAAGATTCTCTATCTTTAGATGTATTCAAGCAAAGCTCATAAGAAAGAAGTCGATTTTTTTTTCTGTTTTTTGGTTTGTTGTATTACATGTATTTGTTATTTCAAAGTTGTAAAATATCAATTTTGTCAATATTTGAGAAACAGCTGAAGATAATATGTATAATAAGACATGTTTGAATCTAGAAATACAATAATAAACTATTTAGGGTGAGTTTCATCTTGCCAAATACATAATCTATTTTTTTTGCAGATAATGCAACCATTTATACCCGTGGTTACTACATTGCTTCAGAAACAGTAAATGCTTGTGACCAATTAGACACAGATTCAGACAGGCTCATGCTGTATTACATCAGTTGTGATTATGAATATGTTGATTTCCTTTCTCATGATACCCGTTATTGTAATGAAGAAGATTTTCCTCCCAATGTCTAGGATATATTATTTGTTTGAATAAATTTCATTGAAAAAATACGAGATTTTCGTTTGTGCTACACAAATGCAATTTACTAAGAAATCACATGGGTATTTTAGGGTGAAAATAAAGTCTTTATTTGGGTTTAAAATCAAAATGGAATGTAAAAATAAATATTTTGATTTGTTTGGGACATAAAAGGTAAGGTCCTACCAAAGGACCCTGCCCAAAGTATACAGAAATTGTGTTCATGTCAGGACATTTAATTTCACTGAAAATCGTGAAAAAAACCTTTTCCCCAAAAAAGTCTTCCCATTTCTCCCTTGTTTAATTATAACAATTAAACAGTGATAAACCTTCGCTGGCGTAATTTGACAGACTTCGTATATTTATATTTTATTCAATATCACGCGGTCAGCTTGCTATATGAGAATTTAGCTAGTCACAATGTTTGGGTATTATAAAAATATCCAAACATAGTAAGTTGCATTCCAACATGCATTTAAGTAATTACGGTCACAGTATTTTATATTTTTGCAGTTTTTGTCACAATTAGTTCACCAAAATCTAATATAAAAAGGGATATAAGATTTGAAATAAATCAGTATTCATCTAGCTTCAAAAGGAGTTTTACTCAAATCCTTTCCTGTGCCCAAGCCTTCTTGGCCAATGCAGAGAGTGAGGCTGCTCGTTGACAGAAAACGATACAATCGTCCCGCTGCTCAACCAAGCCGATTTGGGCAAGCGTGCACACCCTTGTTACTCAGATAGACTTATTTTTTATGTTTTTGGCCTTTTTAAGAGGCACTGACCTAACTGGTTACTGTATAAAACACCTTGTAATCACCTATCAATAATTGTTTATTATTGTCGACCATCTTATTACAGATACAATCTTGGTCCTGACATTTCACAAACTCACAGCTACTATTAAGTACCTATATACTATAGACGTAAATAATAATAATAATAATAAAAATTACTTTTTTTTTTAAACCCTCATACCGTTATAAACAATTAAAACTAACAGTCGAGGACAAGTAAATCAACACAAACTAACACAAGAAAAACAATTAATATTGTTTAAAAAATAAACAAAGTTTTATAACATGGTTGTCAGATCGAGTTTCCACCAATTAACAATTTTGATTTTTCCCATTCCCTCAAGTCTTCTGCTCTTTAAATTAATTTTAAACTACATAACGCAACACTCAGGGTTGGCCGCTGGGTCTGCATTTGGCATTCCTGTAGGATTACCAAGAGGATCAAAAGCAAATGGGGTGTCAACTTCTCCCACTAATTCTGCAGGGGGTTGACCATAGTCTTGAAGCTGGAATAATTGATAATTTAAAAGCATACAATGAACTATAATGGTATTGATCTGTCATATTTATATAAATTGTCATGATTCTAAGCAAAAGAGGAGTTGAACAATGTGTATGATAGTGCTAGTATTCTTACCTTTTGCATAAGGGCAAGCACAGTAGAAAACCTCTCTTTTTTCACCTCTGTACTATCTGTATCTTTCTCTTTATTTAATTCTTCTAAAACCTCTTCCATTAACTTTTTTTGATTTCCATATCTTTCCGCATCTTCTTTTGACAAAGTATCTTTATTTTTCTCTAAATAAGCAGGCAGTTTTGTCACAAAGTCTTGTAGGCTGGGTCCTAAAACTTCTTTGGACAATAGACCTTGCATCATACCTAAAAAAAGACAATTTTAAATGTCTGCCAAAAGTAGGCACATCCATACTTATTTGGGCAACCATTATTTTAACTTTAACTTTACAATAACAACTGTATTCAATTTTAAATAATACATTGCCTTTTATTCGAAGAATTAATAGTGAAAAATCATCATTATTATTTCAACATAGTACTTAATAAGAAAAAAATGGACAATAAATAAATATTGTTTATCAGGAAGAAAATATTATGAAAGTCATACAAGGACAAATGTCCTATCAGAAATTACAAAATAAAATATTTAAAATAAATATTACCCTGCATAAAAGGCAACAAGTCTCCTTCCTGTTGTGTGCCGCCAAACATTTTCATAAGATCATCTTCATTGAATGCGTTTCTAGTTAGATTTTCTTGACCCTGATTTATACCTGAAAAAAATATAAATATTTTGAACTAACTTTTTTTTTGAATAAGTATTAATTTACCTGCAATTGCTTGAGATATACTTGAAGCAAAGTCAACTGATTGGTCAGTAACTTCTGTAGGGTTTGTCAGGACTTGTTGGGCAGCATCTAAAAAACAGTTTAGTTATGATTTTGAAAAAATAACCAATAAATAAACAGGATTCTTTGCCTACCTGCCATTTGTTTCAATTTTTCCTGAACTATATCCGGACTAAGTTGGGCATTAGGATTGCCAGCGGTTAATAGTCTAGCAAAGTTTTCCTCAAATTCTGATGCAGCTTGTTGAATGAAATCCTGAGACCATTCTTGAGGAATATCTAAATTGTGTGTGTTTTTTTTGTAATAATTAATTGTATTTATTATTATGGCTTGCCTAGTTGAGTCTTTTCTCCATCTTTTGCTTCATTTGGTTTAGTTTCCTCGGAAGGGTTTTCATTTTTGGCTGCATTTCCTCCAAAATCTTGAAGAGCACCTAACAAAAACAAAATTTTAACTTTTATAGGCAATAATTGAATGGTCAATGATAAACTTTTGGCCTATTGATTGTTGGAAAAGAACGTCAGAAAAATCAAAAACATTACCTACTTTTTTTTGATATTCATTTATACAAAGTTATTAAGTGTTTTCGAAAACAATTTATTTTACATGCTTGTTTTCTACAACAAATTCCAGGACTCTGGTGGACCATGTTAAGTGCATACAACAATCTCAATCAAAATCAGTGCCTCCAAATTATTTGCTCTCTATGCTTTTTAGTATTTTAGGTGAAATTTTAGGTGCCTTGAGCAAGTAGTGAGCCATGTAAAGCAAAATTTTATACCGGGTGCCCACGAGATCAGTTTCTGGCTGCCATTTTTTTATTTGTCCATCAATATCAACGAAACTTGGTAGGGTTGATATTCCAACCAAACGCCATTTTTATGCATTTATGACAAGTTTTCCTGACTTCCGGTTTCACCGGAAATGACCGGAACTCTTGATTTTTGAATGGCACACCCTGTATATTTTTTGTTTTTCGGATTCTACAGATCGTTTTACGTCCTAATGCACCACTTTTGAATCGATTTTTATCCAAATTTTGTTTTTGAATTAAATTTTATTTTTTTAACTAGAGTGTCATGATCATCCTAAAGTGACTTTAAATACTTTACTTTGTAAATTTTTTTGATAGAGGGCTGTAAACTTATCATTTTAGTATTTTTGCCCTATCTCAAAAACTAGAATACAAACATATTACTTTCATAACATTACTAAATGCAGTATTTTAAAGCGAATCCAACGATATAATACACTACAACATTTTTCTTAATTTTCAAATATTTTTGTTTTATTATGTAGGTAATTCTTTTTTTTTCTACTTAAAATTTAATTTGAAAGGGAAATTTGGACAAAACTCGATTTAAAAGTGGTACATTAGGACGTAAAACGATCTGTAGAATCCAAAAAACAAAAAATATACAGGGTGTGTCATTTGAAAATCAAAAGTTTCGGTCATTTCCGGTGAAACCGGAAGTCAGGAAAACTTGTTGTGGATGCATAAAAATGGCGTTTCGTTAGAATATCAAGCCTACCAAGTTTCGTTGATATCGATAAACAAATAAAAAAATGGCAGCCAGAAAGTAGTCTCGTGGGCACCCGGTATAATCTATTCACAATCCGAAGTCCAAAGGTGAAGTAGATTTATCACCTTTCAGTTGGCAGTTGATACGAATTTTATTTTATATATTACCTGCATAAGTTGGTAACATTTTGATACATCTTTGAGAAGTTACACATGTGTCGTATTGTGATGACAAACTGATAAATAGCTAAGCAGAACTGAAGCATATTTTTATATTTTGAACAAAAAATATGTGATTGACGAGGTTCTCAGTAGACATCGCCATGAAGTTCGCAGATTATCTCCATATCATTGTCAATATAATCCTATTGGGATGGCTTGAGGGTTTGCTAAGAACTTTTACAACAATACACATAAACGAGGAGGCTCCATCAATAAACAGAGTTGTAGGTTTATGGAAAAAAGCCTTGTCTGCTTATACTCCAGACATGTGGGAAAATTATGTTATACATTGTGAATTTTTTTTTTGCCTTGTACCTATATCAGTTTCTATTCCGGGTTCAACAGATTATTTGTAGGCACTGGATTGCGCAACTTTTACCCCATTTGGTCCACCCTGTACCTTCAATGGTTTCTAAAATCCCCATGTACTCCAAGTTATTCCGGACACCCAGTATAGCATGTACCATTAAAAAAGTTACGACTTTGGTCCATATCCCGAAATCAGGGCTGGGATCACGACAAGGAGAATTCTACTTGTCGTGATCCCAGCCCAGGACCAAATAGAGTATGCCATTGGATTCTGCTTGGAAAAATACCAGAAAGTTTATACAGGCTGGGTTTGGTAATGGCATCTGCGAGTAAGATGAACAAAATTTAACAGATGTTACGTGATTTGACACGTGATGCAATTACTTGGACCACCCAGTACAGGGTGGGAAAATTTTGACACTCAAACATGGATATTAACGCGGATATTAAAAAAATATCGATTTTGTTCCTTCAAAAATTATCCTAAGAATACATATTTTTGGATACCTATTTGAATGTTTTAGGGCCGGTTTAGTAATATAAGTAGGCAAGTAGGCAATCTGACACATAAAAACGCAATCTTTAATTTCATTGGTCGACCAGTAATCCGCCGACCAAAGAAATTATAGAACATTAAATTAATCTTGTAGATATTTAACAGCAAGTTTATCTGAAGATGAATAAACCGGGCGTTAGAGCTGGTTCAGGTCCGGTTTATCAGAAGGTGCATAAACCGGCTTGAGAAACTGAGAAGAGTTGATAAGGCCCAGTTTATTCATCTTCAGATAAACCTGCTGGTGGTAACTATCTGCAAGATAAATTTATACCCTTTTATAATTATTTTATTGGTGGGTGATGGTGGATAACTGGCCGACCAATGGAATTACAGATTGCGTTCTTATCCCTCATACCTGACAGTTTACCAGGCAGAAGGTGAATAAACCGGCCCTAATGGGCAATGATTTTGGTAAAATAAACCATTTATTGCGTAATGATTAGAAAACTTAACTTACTGTCCAACAAATCGGCCAATTCCTTATCGTCATTTTTAGGTTCATTTTTCTCTTGCTGACTCATTATTATATACTTTTTTAATTACTATTTTTCAATGATATATTCTTGTTGTGCCTCTATAAACTCACTGAATAACAACTCAAATAAAAAATCTATTTCCTGTGTGCGTAATTTAAGAAATGCCAAATTATAAATGAAAATGTACCTTGAAATTTCGGAAAAAAACTTGTGATGTAAGTTTTTAAAGTGTAATTTGAGAAACCACAATTTTTGATGACTTTTTGACGTAACACATGATTGTGGACGTTTTCTATTTACGATCGAAATGTCAGAAACCGTCGCTCGTACAGTAGTGATGGGAGAACTATCGATAGTGAAGAATCGTCCATAACTATCGATAGTTAAAAAAAAGATCTAGTTTCAACCAATAGCTGTATTCCTTTCGAGAGCTTGAAACACTAGAGCTACTCGCTCCGGTGTTATAATCGACCCCGATTTGAAAGAAACAGAGATGTGCTGGCTTTCATGCATTCAAAATGATTTGAGTCAGGCTTCAGCACTCAGGTGCAACAAACACTTTTCGAAAGGAATAAGCGCGTAAAGCCCCGGAGCTCCTCCTAGGTGTGAAAGGAATAGTTGTATTCAGGGATGTGCCGTAGACTATGAAATCTACTTTACGCGGTTTGTCTATTCGTTGTCTACGTATTGTTTACATCCACTTTTTTCCATGTAGACTATGTAAACTATGTAGACAATGTAGACAACAGAAAATTTGAAATTTAAGTAATTTTTTTGAAAGTTTGTATTGCAAAATGTATCAAATTAGACAATAGAGAGTTATTGGAACTATTGAATACTGCCTCGCAGTATTAAGGATCTACGTTATTTTATTAGTGCATCAGCACAATTTCTCCAGGAAAATAACAGTTATTGGAAGACTGTAGTAAGTGTTAGAGTATTACCTTATTTTTTATTCATAATTTTGACAGCTGATAGCTATGTTTATAAATTTTAATCTCAAAAAGTGTTTATTTTTGTTTGAGATTTTCTGCTGATATCTATTTTTTGATGTTAGCTACAGTAAAATGAAAAACCATTGTAAAAAACATAATCTCTAATGGCGTTTCCGATTGGTAGTAGGGATGTCAATAACCGGTAGTTCAAACCGAAAAACCGGTGTTTTCTGTTCGGTTAACCGGTTAATACCAGTTGTTTTTTGCCTCCAGTTATAACCGAATAACCGGGTTTTATACCTAAAAACCGGTAAAAGTGAAAAAATAAACACGTAGACTTTTCTCTTGTTTCCATAACTTTAAAATATATTGAATGAGCGACAACAGTCTTTTTAACCGATAGTGCCCGTGCCCATCTCTAGTATTTCAGTTTCGGTTAATCCGTTCAGCAGCTGGTTGATTTCCATCTTTCTCTAATGAACGGTATTGAAAAAAGACATGTACATGTAGGTATAAAAAAAATACATAGTTGCGGCCATTGGAACTGGCACTAATTTTTGAACGCCAAATATAAGGCTAAAACTGACACAATTTTGGCATTAACTGCCTGTTAAAAAAAGTCAAATTTTGATGCATTACAAGGTGCGTTCGAAAATTTGTGCCAATTCCAATGGCCGCAACTGTACATGTTAAAAATGAAAGAAGAGAAATAACCAGTTTAGAAAAGTTTAAGTATTCTTTGATGCTTTTTAACATGTAACAGTTTCCGATTTGTTTTACCATTAAGATATGTTGTTGTTTAAGTTATGTTACCTACATTATAATATAAATTATGCAATTATTCTAATATTATTCGGCAAAATAACCGAGCAACCAGTTAACCGGTGTTTTATATCAGTTTTAACCGGGCAGTTATAACTGTTAGTAAATTAACCGGTTAATGAAAAAACCGGTGTTTTGAAAAAAATTGACATCCCTAATTGGTAGATCTAGTGCGGAACTGGTGCAATTTTTCTATTTCTGTCCTTTTCTTCTACAGGTCGATTGAAAAGATGCAAATACACTCAGTGCGCACTGAATCTACCAATCGGAAACGCCATAAGTAAAATTACGTCATGGTCGAAAAGTGAAACGTCAAAGTCTTCAAAAATGTCAGAAATATTGAAATAAGGGAAAGTTACTGCTTGTACTAACCATACACAAATAAAGACAAGCAGTAGTAACCTTATTAAGGGAATCCTTATTTTCAGACCCAAATGCGCATGCGTAGATGTCAAAATAAGGCTAATTTAATTACTGCTCGTCATTATATTGCACGTCCAATAACTCTCTATTATCTGCAGTTTAATTAACATTACAAAGCAAAAAACAAAACAAAGCAAAAACAGAAACACTCGAACTACTCGCTCCGGTGTTTAGTAGCCCCCGATTTGCAGGGAACAGATGCGTGGTGCAACAAACACTTTTCGAAAGGAATAGGCGCGTGAAGCACCGGAGCTGTTCCGGAGCTCCTCCAAGATGTGAAAGGAATACAACTAAGGGCGGGTATTATAAAACTACTTTGAAAGTTAACTTAAAGTTAACTTCTGGAATTACATGTAATTCTAAAAGTTAACTTCAAAGCAGTTTTATAATACCCGCCCTAAGGGTTGAAATTTTTTTATAATGGGAATAAATACCTTAACTTATTCACTTACTTAAACTTATTTATTTTACTATAACATAAAGTTATGTTTTCAAATAAGCAACTTTAGTACCTAGGTACCAGGTATATACCTACGTACGGTGAAGGAGATTTTTACGATACGGATGAAATATGTAAAAGACTTTGGTAAAAGCAAATTTATCAAAGCGTTAGAGAATAGGCTACTTGCATGGAAAATTAAATTGATTATTGTTTATTGCAAACTGTAGGAAATCGAAAAAAAATCGTTACTTTTTTTTTATTTCGCCCAAAAATGATTATTCCGAAAGTTATACAAATATTAAGTTTTTTATATATAGATATACTGAGCATGTGCGACGTCACAACTTACAACGTATTATACCTAAGTTATGACGTCGGAGAGACATTTCAAAGCGTTGTATCTCCGTCAATTTTTGACTAACAAGAAAAAGAAAAAACACGTGTTGACTTATTTTTCATGGACTATCGAAATCAGCAATAAAAAAATTTGATGCAAGGGGCCTATTCGCAAGAAATAAGTATTTTTGCATTTGGGTTATTCCAATGCCTAATCAATACTGGTAGATGTACAAATAACTGATTAGGGAATTCACTATTTGTTTATCATAAAGAAGCTTCATTATTTTAATTAACAGATTTTTTGTTATTCTGGCATAAATTCTCAAATAACAAAAAATACTAACATTCGATATTGTCGTTCTACAATATTGCCAATTCATCATTAGAAATAGTGGGCTAATGATATTTCTGAGAAATCCTATGTTTTATAACCAAACGCATACATACAGGGTGTCTCAAAGACAATAGTAGTTGTCTATACAAATACATACTACACTTCTTTTTTTTTTGATTAATTACCGAAAAAAATTTCTTCTTTATTGATTTACCTACATATATAGGTCTCCTCCATATAATAATAATATGATGTATTTTTCCATAACTACATTCTAATTAATCTACTTTGTAAAGTTATTTTAGTGATGCCTTCTGTTTTTGTCTCATATATTTGTGATCTTCCTACCTACTCCTTTTTTTCTTCTGATGCAGTTGTGTCGATTTGTGCCGTTCTGGTTCCCAGACAGCACATGAAGTCTTTAAAGACGTCTTTTTTAGGTCTGCAATACTTCTGAATTTCTGATGAATATCTTTTTCGGACAGAAATATGGGCATCTTCTGATAGTACTAATGAAAGAACAACAAACGTTTGTGAGTCATTCCAAAGCCACTTCAATTCAGCTTCTTATTTTTCCCATCCAGAAATATTTAGACTTTTGGCTGTTTCCTCCTCTTTACCATGATGATGGATGAACAGATTCCTTCAACTTTTTATAGTTTCCATAGAATGAGGTAGGCGCGCAATCCTTCCATGTTGTAAAAGGGGTTCGGCGCGCTATCAGCCCATGTACTAGTGGTACTTAAAAAAATTTCTGGCCGCGGTGCGCAATCGTCCATTGCCCGATTTAAAGACGTCTTCAAGACATCTCGTTGAAGACGTCTTTAGAATGTCTTTAGGCAGACGTACCTGAAAGATGTTGGGTTTTGTAACATACGACGTCTTCAAGATGTATTCAAAACGCATTAAAGTAATAGCAATACGGCTTGAATGTTGTTTGTGGACATCTTAGGGACCTTCTCAAGATGTCTATACAAAAATTTCCCACAGAATTCGTTTCTCATTCAATTTAGAAGTTACTGGAAACCATTTAATTTAGAATGCTACGGAACATTTTAATAAGTCTTTTGGAAAGTTCAATAAACAATTTAAATTCAATTAGGAATTTCTAAAAGCATTCTGTACTGCTTCAGAACAGTTTGGAAATTTCAGAACCATTCAAGAATGTTCGAAAACATTCAAAAACCGATTTATAAAATTCGAAAAGCATTTTTAAAAAATTCAGAAAATTGAAATCCATTTTAGGACACTCCAAAACACCCGAATACTCTAGAATCTCCAGTAACATTTCGAAAAGCGACAGAATCTTAGGATTCAGGTTAAAAATTCCAGAAGGCGTTCAAGATCGAATTTAAATTTGCTGTAGAAATTTAAACCTCCAATGAGTATCCAAAGCACTTCAACACAACAATTTGGATTATGAAACTTTGAAGTTATATATAAAACCATTTAGAACTCTTTTGAACCAATTTACAACACTTTGAGGCTTCAATAATCAATAGGGCTCTGAAATACTTAAAAATCTGCCAGAACAATTATTTATGTAAATTATTGAAAAGCTTCTAGAATGCTCTAGGATACCTCAAGCCAAGTTAGAACACTTTAGAACTTCAATAAGCCATTTAGAACGTTCCAAAACACTTTCCAGTAGCATTTTGAAAGGCTCCAGAACAATTTAAGAACTTCAGAATTATTTCAGAGAGCCTTAGCGCCTGGATAAACAAAAAATGACTGTTATAAAATGAGTAATATAAAGAAATATTAGCAAGAAAATGTTTCTCTTTCAATTCAAATTCTAGAATTTTTCCTCCAGGCTCTTGGTTTTTCCATATTTCTTTATTTTAAATTTCATATTTTCTTTTGGCTCCTAAATTTTTTCATTCCAAGTTTTTAGCTCTGTTCCAACCGACATGAGAACCGTTCTAAAACGGTAATTATCCAGTCGATCAATTCATTTATCAAGTAGGATAAATGTTCAACTTATTGAAAAACCAGGTGGGCAACTGGAAATTACTGGTTCTGGAACGGTTCCCATGCATGTCGGTTGGAACAGAGCTATATTGAATTCTCATTAAAGTCTGTTTTTTTTTTTAAGATAAAAGTCAAAATGACATTAGAGAGATATTGCAAGTGCTTGTCTTATTAAGGCAAGCCTTAATTATTTCGACAGCTGCGCATGCGCAGTTTCCGTTTGGAATAAGGACAGCCTTATTATAAGGATAAGGATCTGCCTTATTTAGGAGAAAATAAGACCTGCCTTATCTTTGCCTTATTTGAAAGTTCTAAGTCGATCGGCGATGATCGGTAGGAATCGCGAACTGAGTTTTGTTATGTTTTGTGTATATAACCATAGATTTTAGATTCATGACAACAAATTCTGACTTTTCTTGAATTTTTTTTTTTCCAAACTTTGAGAAATGGGGAAAATCAAAACAGCATCGAAGCACAGAAAAGAGGCAGACTACTAAAGGTTTGTTTGTTTGTATCGCACTAACTTGAACTAAGCTGTAGAGAAAGAAAAGACTTCTTCAAGTTCAAAACTTGAAAAATAAACATTAACAAAAATTCAAGATTTTCAGGTTAGAAATAAGGCATCAACTCCCAGTCGTTTCTGAAAATTTGCAATATCTAAACTTGTCATTCGAAGTAAGGAAATGACCTATCGGGTCTAAATAAGGTTTTAGCCTTATTAAGGCTGATTTGCAATATCTCTCAATAAAATTGATAATGCTTTCAAATGTTTCTATCTAGAAAAGGCTTATTGTGTTACAAAGTTACTAAATTTTTGACTTGAGCAATTATCTTTAAAAAAAAAATAGACTTATTTCCATATTTTAGAATGTCAGGCTCTGTCAGAATTTGAGAGCCTAGCGTTTGAAATTGACAAAAATTGAAAGCTATAAAATGAGTAGGTAATAATGAAATATTAGTCCTGAAGACGTCTTTAGGCAGACGTTGGGTTTTGTTATAGTATTTCCAAACTCAATTGGAACAAGGTACCAACTGGTGGCTGACTGGTCACTGAAAATTTCCATAAGAAATACACTGGTCACTAGTCAGCCACCAGCTATAATTTATGTTTACCTTGTTCCAATTGCCTTTGGATAAACTATACATACGACGTCTTTGAGATGCCTTTAAGACGCCTTGAAGACGTAAGCAGGCGTCTAAATGACGTCATGAATGTCGATTGCTGTCTGGGGTTTTAAAAACGGCATAAGAACCGTCCGAAATATGTTCACAAAACTTTCATGAACACGAAGATCTGCAAAGAAAGTTTTGGAAAGTAGGTAGGTACCTACGGTTGTAAAACATTTTTAAAACCAACAACAGCAAACGTCTTACATACGTTTTTTATCTACAAGCGTACGGTAACTGTAACTAAGGTATATTACACGATTTAGCGTGCGGTAAGTACCATATTACCGCACGGCGTGCTGTACCTAATTCTATTACCGCACGGCGAGCTTCACCTAATTCTATAACCGCACGCGCTACCTGCCTTCAATTACCTACCTATCATCTAAATTCTACTTCTCCACTGTCAAAGGTGACAGACGCAATTTTATTTTCTATATTTTTTTAAACTTCTTTTATTCCGATATTTTATTACCGCACGATTGCAGATAAAATACTATATATAATACGTATGGTAATACGGTAAAGTTATTACTGCGCTAAAAGATTACAAACCTCGCCACACCGGCTCGGTTTGCAAATTTCTCTCGCGTGCGGTAATAACTTAGTATTTATGTAATACCTATATTATTTTAAGGTGCATATCAGAGTGCTTGTTAAAAAGGTACAGAAAGGATGCTTTTTGGATATTGGACTCGAGTTGTTTTTGTTTGTTTTGTTTCAAGTGGACCGTTTGAAAAATGTCTTTTTTCTACAACTGTCAAAAAATGATGATGTTCGCACACTCACATGACAGTTTGCGAAGTGACACTTTTTTTCCCAGGTATTGATTTTTTAACGTTCCCATGACGCCGTGCGCGAACTAGCTATTTCGCACACTAGTGCGCGATATAGCTAGTTCGCACACTAGTGCGCGAAATAGCTAGTTCGCACACTGGTGTCATGGTGACACATACCTGTCAGGAAACCAAAAATAATTAAAATTCACCTACCTTTGAATGAGAATGCAATTTTGGCTTCGAATGATCGATATTTAAATGGAGTTGTAGAAAAAATATTGTTTGCAACTCGGGCGCGAAATACTTTGATGATCTCGATCACCAAAGTAGCATTTCGTGCACTAGATACAAAAATAACTATTTTTCACAGTGTTTTTAGCACGTTCGTTTAAAAGTGTTTTTAAAACATTCCTTTTAGCCGTCTATAATATGTCGTGTTTGGGTGAGTTACTTGACGTTTTAGAAACGTTCTGACGTCCAATCGAATACGTTTCTAGAACGTTGTTTAAACGTTTCTATCTTATTAGGGAGAGGTGAGGCCTTTGAGTCATTGCTAATCAAATGTTTCCACAATCTTCGGACACATAACTCAGTTTTCGGAAGGCTGCCTATAAGCCTCCTTATTTTGTTGACCATGGGAATCAGATTCTTTTTTTTTCTAATTGTATACTATGTTGTCTGATGAGACTATGGTGTATTTTTTCTCAAGATGGATTTTGATATTGAAAGCTTTGAAACATCAACAATACCGCTTACGCCTGATTGGTAGCAAAATGAGGTGTCCCTGCAGGTTGGAATCAGTTTTACAATGTATGTCGTGCAAATGGCATCTTGCGACCAATAAGCGGCATTGTTCATGTTTCAAAGTTGCCAATGTCAAAATCTATCTTCGGAAAAAATAAAGTTTACACATACTGATCGATTTTTTCAATGTCTACTCACTGGTATTTCGAGGGTGCTTACTCATCATCATTTTCGTATTTACTAGATTCATTCATTTCATCTCCTTAATAATCATTCAGCACTGAAAGTGTATCTTTAAACGCTCTATTCCAGTATAAATTGATACCTTGGCCTGATGGAATTCTGAATTAAGTGCTTAAAATGTACCAGATCTATATTTTATATATTCTATTTTTCCATGACAGCTCTTTGATAGTAGTTTTTCATAGCCAAAATAAATATGTTGGGAGATAATTTTGTAACCTTAGCTGACCTCTTTCCAAGAAAGTACCTATTTTTGTTTGTCTTGAATCAATTATTCGCCAGTAAAAATAAAAGGCGTCACTGTGAATATATCTGATTTATTCTATACTAGGTGGGAAGTTTTTGTTGTCTTTTAAATTAGGGGATGAATATTTTATTACACTTTTAAATATCAATTTACGATAGCAAACCAACATAAGAGATAAGAGGATGACATTCCTACAAAAGACTCCTCAAAAATTTAAGGTGCAATAAGGGGAATCTGGAGTGGAACATTTATTTAGAATTATTGCTAGATGTCGCATTGATCCTATGATAAGAAATTTTTTTAGAAAATTCAATTGAACATGAATTAACGTTTTAACATGATGCGGTTCACCCCCTAATAACAGATGCTATTTGCAGTTTTTGAGCTTTTCCAGGATATTTGATTGGTAGACGAGGTTTCATCGAATGGCCGCCCAGACCACCTGATTCATATCCTTTGGATTTTTTCATTTGAAATCGCGAGAATTTAGTTAGGGGTTGTTCTGGATTGACGCTTAGGTCGCCAAAATTTTGGGGAAAAAGTCGCTGTAAAGGATCTACTGTTTTGAAATATTTTTAATTTAGGGCTACTTAACAACAAAGTGTACCATGATCAAACCGATCAAAGTATAATAAACTATTATCATTATGAATTCCAAGTACATATAAAATAATAGTCTGATCAATAATAATCGTCTGGGGTCAATTAAACTTTACATAAATTGCTTGCTCATACAACAAATTTCTTTTTCCTTATCTTTAACAAGAACTGATAAGTTCATAAAAATAAATCAAAGCCTTGTTAAGTTCACTTTATTATTCAAGTGACTCATATGTTTTATACCTAATTAAATTAAGTGGCTAATTGGATTCTTGTTACGAGTTACGACTGACGTTGCAGTGTTGAGTTGTTTGAGCCGCGTAACGGCATCTAGCAGCAGTCAGTTAGCAAACGCTTCTCAATATAATACTTAGCAGTTATTGCGATAACAGAAAAATGTTTTGGCAAAACGCGTTTTTAGCTGGTGTCTTACTGGTGACGATTGTGAAAGATGTAGAGATGCACTCTTACCATTTAGGGGTTTGCCCTGCAATCGAGCCTCAAACTGATTTTAATATGGACAGGGTAAGAAATTGATAATGATTTTGAATTTTTGTTCACTAGGCAAGATAGGTAATTGATCTACATGAGAAAGTATACATACCTAATTTTTTCTTCGATACTAACGTGAATTTTGTCTATGGAATAAGCTCCCAAGTTTTAAAAGAATGCAGAGGTTCGTGAATGAAACTTTCAAAAATAATCTATGTACCTCATCCAGCGATTTCTACTTCTACATGGTCTATAGTAAATAGTTCCATAAAGTATCATGCAGTGTAAAGTAACACTTGCTTTTTCTAAGTTATTGAACATATCTCTTGTTTCTCAGATACAAAATCAAAGCACTATTGGCATCATTATGTGTACCAATTTTGGATAATGTAGAATGTCTCAAAGATATTTTCTCCAAAACGATGACTAAAACTGAGAAAACATAATTATTAATTGGCAGATTTGCTCTTGAAGCACACATATTGTATATTGGTTGTAGATTTTATAATAAAACTATTTTTATGTAATTTTTCTTCCTTCTCGTTTGCCTATCGTATATCGAATGATTCGAATGTTAACCTTTTCCGATGCTTATGTTGTTTATACAATATTTATCATGTTAATTCCAATACACTACGCGCTAAGACTACGCGCATATAGCGAATTGATTGGCACCATATATAAATTATGCATGGTATAACAAAAAAAAATGGACACAAAATTACATAAATATAGGTTTCTGATCCAAGACAATGTTGATATATAACCGTGTACCAGGAAAGTAATATAATAATCACAAAACCTCTGTAACATTATAATCTGTACCTAATGGCACAGATGAACTTTATGAAATATTTTCAGCTGAGTAACTTCACAGTAAAAATGAAATTGTTACAAGTAATAATTTACAAAAAATATTATCAGTCATCATATAGCAGTCAAGAATGTTCACAAACGCATTAAAGTTAAGGATGTTTTAATTATCATTATCATTATGAAATTTTGTTATACCCGGAGAACGAACCTTCATTGACATTAATAGGTACCCACCTACTTGATAATGAATGAATATTTTTTCCAGATGCTTGGTATATGGTACGTTATAGAAAAAACCAGCACCGCCAGCTCCTGCATTACTTACAACTTTACCAAAACAGACGAACCCGGTGAATATCAGATTGAACAAGTGAGCCAACATTTCCTGTTGGCCCTCACTCCATTGAAACACGGCTATCACTATACTGGCACACTTCGGGTGCCCGACAGGGCTATTCCGTCAAAGATGACTGTTAGTTTTCCTTTAAGTACGTATAATAATTTATAAATGTATGTACTGTATAACTAACTCATCGTTCTATTTAGGTGTAGCAGGAAAATCCTCTTTCACAGTCTTCATGACCGACTACGAAACTTATGCGGGAATATTCACGTGCCAAAAATTGACTTTTGCTCATCGCCAATCGGCTACAATTCTGTCCAGGACCAGGTCGCTAGACAAAATGTATCTTGACAAAGTAAGAATTCCCATTTTACAATCGACATATTTTTATTAAGGTTTTTGATTTTAGATCAGATCCAGATTGTCTAATGCTCAAATCGATCCATTCGAACTGTCCTTGATCAGTCAAAATGAGTGTCCCAGAAATTTGACTGCTGGATACAACATTAACATCAACGATGAAACTATTTCTGCGAAGGCAGCAGCTGGTGTTATTAGAAAAGCTGGAGAAAAAATAGGTAAGAAAACATGAAAACTTATAAATAAGTTCTTATTATATACTTATTTACACTTTCTCCTAGGTGATGGTGTAGAGTACATAGCTGGAAAGACCCAAGACGTATACCATAAAATTTCAGACAAAGCTGAGGATACCACTGGTAGAATAAGGTCTGAAGCCAGCAGATCTATGGATAAAGATGCTGAATGGTTACCATAGACTAATTAATCATTAAAATACATATGTTTTTTGATAAACATTTATTGTTAAGCTAGGTATAACTACAATTTTTTGTGTTGCAAGACTGTTTCAAATTAGCGTTAATTCGACAAAATGAGGAGCTGAAGATGGCTTTTTTATGTATGTATTTTTTAATAGACGTATCTCGTGTGTGTGCTTTTTTTATATTTCTCAGTTTGTTCACTTTTCGATTTGAATCCATGAATCAATCAACCTTGGTAGATGAGGTTTTCGTAAATTCCTCAAATCAGTAGCGATATAGAGATAAAAATGTCAAAGAAGTGGAATAGCCGATTGTAGCTTCTTCGAATAAGCTTTTCTGCTCTTAAGAACGGGAAAATCATCTGAAGTTTTCCTTTTGTTGAACGAACAATGCAGTAGTAGTTTCGGATTCAGTCAGTGGCGCACCCAGAAAATATGTTTGGGGGGGGGCCTACCTACATAGAATGTGGCTTGTGAATGAAAGTCTAAAAAAAAATTGGAGGTGTCAGGGTGCCACACCTTGATGTTGCTACGTTTTTTAAACGTAAAAATTCAGTTTTCAGAGGCGCCCTGGAGGGGGGGGCCCTGGCCTGATAGCCCCCCCCTGGGTGCGCCACTAGAATCAGTGAAAGCATGCAACAACAAAATAGGTAGGTACCTATGTTCTTTGCAACGAATAGTAGATATATTACATACCGAGGTGGAAAGTGTTTCGTCGTTAATTTAACTAACTTTTTCGTTTTAAAAGAACAAGCAGATCGATGATTTGTCCAATGATGACGGCGGCCCTTTCACGTTCCGCGATACTTCAATGATTCATCCGTATCATTCTCGTTTCCTAGCGATTTCGGCACCTGGCAGTTGTTTAATAAACATTTAAAAGAAGTTCTTTCTATTGCATCGGTTTGATAAGAACTTTTCGGGTGATGTTGTATCGAAGCCGATTTTATAAAATGTTGACAGTGGTTTGGCTAAATAATTGTTCAATTGCATTTATATCTTTATATCCTACTGAACTATTAAAACCATATAATACCTTGGTTACGATAATCATAAACAGGGTCTTAACTCCCAAGGGAGTTAAGGATTTTCATAACTCCCAAGGGAGTTAAGGAAGGGAGTTAAGGATATCATAACTCCCAAGGGAGTTAAGGATTTCCATAACTCCCGCTTTTACCTTGAATAGGTAACACTTTGACATAAAATAGAAATTTTGATTTATGGCTTATTCCTTTATAAAAATAGACAGAATACAGTAAATTCAGTAGGATATAAAATTATCTATGTACCACGGGAATTATCAGGAGTTAATACCCACGGGCAATTGGTGTCCCTCGGGCCGGAGGCCCTCGGGACACAAACGTTGCCCTGGGGTATTAACACCTGCATAATTCCCTTGATACATAAATAACTATTAGAGTTGTCAGAGTAAACATCGAATACAATAATAACAATTATCTAAGGACCAAATTCGTTTGCAAAAAGTTAACATCTGTCAAGAACTATGAAGAAATTATCATTTTTGCTCCATACCTACATCGCGATGTGGAACTTGTGATATGTGGAAGAAAACTACCATCGACGACGTTGGTTGCATTATATATATTGACAGGCTCGGTTGGATATGAACTTATTAAATTCCAAACTCAAAATTTTTTTCCTTTCCAGATCGATTACCTTAATATTCCGGTTATTTCTCGGAAAATGATAGAATTAAGGGAAATAGTAATTTACGATCACCAGAAGATGAAGGTCGAGGTAAGTATATTCCAGATTCCAGAGCAAGCAGGCAACTTAAATTAATTTTGTGTATGAACGCCAAAGGTAATTCCTCTTACACTATTCTCAAATAACGTTACGTTATTATATGAAAAATTATAAGGTCAATTCTGTGCACATCTGTAAGCCAATCTAGTATAATTTTCTATAGAAACTTATAGCCCAATAATAGACAATTCGCAATTCGCAATTCGAAATTCTGCGATTCCTGTAGCTTACAGAAAATTTTAGGGATTCGTAAATATTTATTTCCGATCGGGTGTTTGGCAACTGATGCGTCTTCCAGTCAATTGCGTGACAGTACTACAATACGTTCATAGAAGGTATCTCAGAATTACCATTTTTACGATTCTAAATACAAAAGTTACAGATTATCGTAAGCTCTGTAGAAAAGAGTTCATAATAGATATTTTACGAGAGAACCCAGAATTGCATGCAGTATTGCATTGTAAGTTAAATGGTACTCACAGTAATGATAAGTAGATGATGTTCAGTAATTATTGGCATCAATGGAAATTTGACAGTAGACCAACTTTCATCGTGTCCCTCGTACAATGAACTATGAAAATAGCTATTCAGAAGGTTATTCATTTTGTCGTGATGCAGTGTGTGGACCAATGTGTTCATAAAAAAGTCATAATTTACTTTATAATAAAGCTCCCTTTAATAAATATGATTTTAGAGCTATGCGGAATTAAGGAAGACATGATATGGACTTGATTACTATACTGGCAGATGATTATGTATTTTTTTTGCGTTGTACAGAATGGAGCTCTTAATTAACTCGGAGCATGGGGTTGGCAAATAAAAATCATGCTCCGCATTTCTAAGTGGATACCTAGTTATGGAATGGCCTTCGTGAAATACTAAATACTCTGGGTGTTTGCGGATTAAGGCAGACTAGATTCTAATATGAATAGGGAAGGGAGTGTTAATATTTTATATTTTTTGAAAAAATCTTGGCAGAGGGCTCTATCCTTCAATTTCAGAGAATATCGAATAGCTCTTTTTTGTAATTCAGATATACGCTCAAATTGAGTCGCACAGCGCATAGGTACCTCAGAATGAGAGGGCGTATCCGCATATCAAAGATGTGAGATGTGCCGGAACTTAATTTTTTTGAGTTGTCTATAACTAAGGCGCAAAAACTTCACAGAATTAACGACGTCAATACTAGTGGTGTTATTAAGGTCAATAGGTAGCAATAACGTGTATTTTTATTTAACAAAACTTTCTACTAAATAGGTACTACAATATCCAGGATGCTCTAAGTGAAACTAGTATCATCAACAAAAAGACAAGATTTTATAGGTACCTACTGCTAATGTCTAGACTAGCTAGTCGTTGATAAACAGCAAAAATAATATTGGACCCAACACGGAACCCAAGGGTAACTAATATACAGGATCGACTCTCATTGATTTAGTTTTTTGCAGTTTTAGTGTGAAAAGTTCTGAAGTTAAAGATATTGAAATCTCTGATCGTATGCTCGTTTTTTTCGATTTAGAATTGGGCGAAACGAAGGCAAAAACTTACAATTTTATTTACAGACAATTACATAACATAGATATGGTACAATTTTTAAACGATATTGCTAATCTCCCATGGGAAGTAATGTAGGTATAGGATAGGGATATAGAAGATAAAGTTTTTTCTTTTTTTTTAAATAGTATTTTGGATATCTTTAATATTCATGTGCCGTTAAAAAGACCATATTATCAGCCCTGGATTACTCCAAATATTCGGTATATGCAGACACTCAGGAACAAAGCTTTTGATAATTTCAAGAGTACAGAAAGTTCTGAGCACTGGCAGTACCACAAGGAACTTCGAAACTTTACAACTTCCGCAATAAGAGCGGAAAAGAGAGCTTACTTGAATTTCAAATTTAACAACTGTACCCAGAAACAGAAATGGCAGGAGTTGAAGAAAGTAAATATTTGCTCAGAAAAAGTTCGTGATCTTCCGGTAAATCTAAGGGATGTTGATAAACTCAACAAGTGTTTTACAGAAGTTTCCAAAAATGCGAATCTGCCTAATGCAGAGCTTATTTCATTTTACAATAATAACAGGTTAACTGAACATGTGTTCTCTTTTGCTCTTGTCTCAGAGGAACTTATCATGGATGTTTTGAAAAGTTTTTTTCATAAACTAAAGTCTTTGGCTCTGATATTCTGAATATCACACGTTAATTTTGCTCTGCTGTCCGGTAATATTACGTCCTTTAACACACATTATCAACACTGTATTGAAAATTCATACTTTCCTTTAAAATTGAAACAAGCGGATGTTGTTCCTCTCTCCAAGGTTGATTCTCCAACAGATTTTAGTCAGTTACGTCCATCTGCATTTTACCTACTCTCTCAAAAGTTCTAGAGACAATAATTATGGAATTGCAGATGATAACATTTTTAATTACAAATAATATTATTCCTAAGTCTCAATCAGGTTTTAGGGCTGGGTATAGTTGCTCCACTGCTCTCTCTAGCATGACAGAGGGGTTTGGATTGTAATAGGGCATCAATTTTAATATTGTTGTATTTCACAAAAGCGTTCGACATGCTTAACCATGAAATACTATTGTCAATTTTAAATTATGTAGGTTTTGGCGATGCTTCCTTACAGTTGGTTTTATCTTTTCTTTCTGATAAAGTACACATCTGATGACCTTAAGGTGACATCCGGAGTACCACAGGGTAGTACTCTTGGACCCCTGTTCTACACTGTGTATACGTCTCAATTTAAAAAATCGTTAAGCAACTGCAAATGTCATATGTACGCTGATAATACCCAGGTATGTCTTACTTTTGATCCAGCTAATATTGATCTTCGGCCTTGCTATAATGACTGCATAAATGCAGATCTAAATAATTTATTTATAGAAACTAAAAAACATTTCCTTGAGATAAATCCAACTAAGTCGGTGGGCTTTCTTTTCAGTAATGAAAGTGTTAGAGAGAGCATCCTAAATAATGTTAATATACGACTGGATCAGAATCAAATATTATTTAAAAATTCAGCAAAAAATTTGGGGCTGGTATTGGATTACAAATTAAGATTTAAGGAACACGTTACCCATGCAAAATTAATAGATTAGGATACTCAGCTTTAAAAATTTTGTACTGTCATAGGCATTATCTGAACCGTGATACTAAGAGAATGCTTTGTGAGTCTCTTGTTCTCTCTCCACTGAATTATTGTGATCATCTATGGACCTTGTTTGGATGCAACCCACATTGGATGCATTCAAAAACGCATGTTTGAGATTAATTTTTGGTATACGTTGGAGGGAACGAATTTCCTACAAGCTCAAAGAACTAAAATGGCTCAATATGTTTAATAGGCGTATCCTGCATGCTACCTGTTTCTTCTACAAAATACTCAAGTATAA